AACTCATTCACAGAAAAAATGCACTTGTTATTAAGTTTCATACCACATTCACTGATGCGGTTGAGAACCGTATGCAAGTTAGCATCGTGCTCTTCGCGAGTACGTCCCCACACCAAAATATCATCCAAGTAACAAAGGGCGCCATTACAACCCTTAAGAATAATTGACATCATTTTCTGAAACACTGCAGGGGCAGATGCAAGCCCGAAACACACGCGGCGAAACCGAAACAAGCCTTCGTGCGATACAAATGTGGTCAAGTCTCTACTGCACTCAGAAAGTTCAACTTGGTGATAAGCGGACGCGAGGTCCAGCTTGGAGAAACATACCGCTCCGGAGAGCTGATGAAGCAGTTCTTCAATGTGAGGAAGTGGAAACCCGTCTACGACGATCGCCTTAATTGTTCGGTTCCCGTAAGTCGACGCATAGTCGAAGGGATCCATCTTTTTTCTTGATGACGACCAGTGGAGAAACCCAGTCGGAAGCGCAGAGACAGGCTCGATGATTCCGCTGGCTTGAAGGCGAGACAGTTCCGCAGAGACTTGCTCACGGACAAGAACAGGAATGCGGCGCAGCTTGGCACGCACAGGGCCCACACCTGGTCGACGCATCACTTTATGCACAAAACCACACACACAACCCAGTTCACGGGTGAACAGGTGGTGGAATTCAGAAGGCGCGTTGGCCGGAAGATCATCTTGGACGTCGACTTGAGCACACGTCATAGACGCACCGACGATATTGATGGACAAAGCCCTGATGGCATCACGTCCCAAAAGTGAGCTGCCATTGGCTGTTACATAAAAAGTAATGGAAGCAGTGCGACTGCAATAGGAGACCTGAGCTGTAAATTGACCTAAATTATCAATCGTTCCTTTGGAATGTTTGTAGAACGACGTGTGAAGGCAAAAGCCGAATGTTGGAAAAATGACTGTGAAAGTCAGCGGCACTGATTAAAGAGACTGATGCACCAGTGTCCACGAGAAATGACAAGGGCACATGGCCCACTGAAACTACGATGCTGGGCTCGGACGTAGTGTGGAGGCCATCCACATTTAAAACAGTGACCGTATTGGTTTGTGCAGTGCTCGAAGGAGCGGACGAAGAAACTGGTTCCGGAAGATTTGCTGGACGGGAATTGCATACGGACTGAAAATGTCCGATTTTTCCGCACGCAAGACAAGTGTGGTTTCTCGCGGGACACTGCGCAAAATTGGCTAAATGCTGAGCCGATCCACAACGAAAGCAATGCGCGGTTGCGCTTGGAGAAGAAAATTGCGAACGCGAATTAGGAGCTCGGTGCTGTTCCTGAAAACCAGAATTTGGCGGAATGGGGTCGCCATATTGCCGGCTTCCTCGCCACCGTGACGCAGAGGGGCCGCCATGTTGGCCGCCGCGCCGAGACGAAGATGAAGGGCCGCCATGTTGGCGCGTCCCGTGAAACGAAGAGCCGCCGCCTTGGCCCCCCGCAGCAGAAAGTTGCTGCACTGGATGCGGAGCGAATTGCTCCAACTGGGAGCAAATAAGCTCGTCCTCTCGCGCAATCGAGAGGGCTTCGGATAATGAAATCGAGGAGCCCTTTTGAAGCATGCGGCAGCGGACGTTTTGCGAGGTTACCCCGGTGAAAAGCTGATGGCGGATCATATCGTCCTCGAGCACGCCGAAGCCGCACGACGCGGCGAGCGTTCGAAGAGAAGTAATGAACTCGGCGACTGGCTCACCAGGCAATTGTCGCCTTTCTTGGAATTTCACGCGTGCGAGATAATCGCACGAAACATCTTTAAAATGCTCATCGAAAAGAGCAACAGCATTCTTGAAGGCATCGCCCGACGCTGGCGCCGGCGACGCGTTGGTGGCGTCCAAAGTATAGAAGAGCTTTAACCCGGCAGGGCCCAAAGCGTTGAGCAGCAGGGCCTTGCGACGCTCGGGCTTGCTGGCGTCCTCCCCGACCGCGTCTGCGTAGGCCTGGAACACCAATTTTCAGTCCGCCCACGGCAGTGGCGGGTCTCCGGGCGAATGAAGAAATAGGGGAGGTGGAATAGGAGACGCCATTTCAAGCAAGAAGAATGGAGATGTGCAGACGAGACGAAATTGACGCCAGTACACTGTTTGAAGAAGACGACAGAGGCGGCGTAGCTAAATGAAGAAGGAATGAAGCGACGAAGCACGCAGTAGCCACCTTGCTGAGCACAAAGAGCGTCTAGGGTTAGCAGGGTAGGTCCATTAGAAGCAAGAAAAAGACGAACACGGTGAACGAAATGGGTTCTTACAGGTCCTCGTCGCCATATCTGTGTTGGGGCTGGCTGGTCCCGACGAAGCAGAAGACGGCCGACGGAGACGTACGCGGCCGGCGGGGACACCGACCAGCCCGAACACGCGGGTTGGCGCGAAGCGCCGAAAGAAAGCCCAACAACTGCACTCCACGGTTACCTAACACACACTGTCTTTATTTTACAGTCGCCTTGAAATCCTAGATTAAGGTCCCTAGATGAGACCTTATCCTAGATGCCAGAGCGGCGCCCCCTGGCATCCTCACATGTCAATACGAAACCGAAACCGAAAACCCAGAACACAACAGGGTGGTTAGACGATAACCTGTTTGCTCTTAGTCGGTGTATATAAATATCTAAAATATAAAACGGGCCCTTGTAAGAAGCTTATTTGGACATCTCTGGGGCGTATGACAACGTTAATCAGGAAATTTTGTGGATATATCGAAGGAAGTGGGCATAGGTGGCGACTGTACACAGCTTTTGAGAGAGGTATATCGATAAAATATGGTTTGCATAGAATGGGAAGGAATAAGTAGCAATTACAGCATTTAAATTAACAAGGTGCTGAAACAGGGATGTCCTGTCTCCACTGTTATCCATGCTGTTCATGGTGAGGATGGAAAAAAGCGCTAGAAGGTATTAGGTTTCATCTGTCACACAAACAGGCGGGCGCGAAGGTTGAACAGAAGCTTGCAGGTCTATTTTATGCAGACGATATTATCCCATTTGCGGACAGTCAAGACGATATACAGCGGCTGGCAGATATATGCAGAAGGGAAGGCGGTACTCTAGGACCAGGATTTAGTGCCACAAAATGTGGATTGATGGTGTTCAATGATCACGAAGACCAGGCGGTCTCATCAATACAGGGCCTAGAAACGCCGAGGGTAAGCGAGTACAAGTACTTCCGAGGGAGTATGGGTAAATGAGGGATACCGATATATGGAGGTACAGGAAAAAAACATCGGCAGCAAAGGGAAAGAGGATATGCTGCAATAAAAAAGCACAGAGCGTTATGGGGATACAATAGGTACGAAGTGCTTCGAGGTATGTGGAAAGGCGTAATGGTTCCAGGGCTTAGATTTGGGAACTCAGTGGTGTGCATGAAGTCATAGGTGCAATCAGGAATGGATGTAAATCAAATTACTGTGGGACGCCTCGTCGTGGGCGCTCACGGGAAGACGACGTTTGAGGCTGTAAAGGGGGATATGGAATGGACAGGCTTTGAAGTAAAGGAAGCCCAGTGCAAAATGAGATTTGAAGAGAGACTTAGGAAGATGAAGGAGAGCAAATAGGCACAAAATGCGTTCAGGTATTTATATAGGAAGAGCGTGGACACAAAGAGGGGAAAAATAGCTATAGGAGGCTCACCAGTAAATATGCGGCTGGCAATGTGGGCGATATATGGCAACAAGTAGCATTAAGAGAAAATTCAAAGAGGTGGAGAGTATTTATTGGACGACAGCGATGGAAAAGAAGTGGGCTCTCAGTTACTACCGAAAAGGCAAGAACGAAATATGGCGGGATACGTTTTATGATAACTCAAGGGGAAGCGCTTTACTGTTCGAAGTGAAATTGGGTTGCCTTAGAACACGTAGTCATAAAGCGAGATTCAATGAAGAAGAAGCATGTACATGCTGTCGGGGGAGCTAAATAAACGATGGAACATGTTCTGATTGAATGCGGCGATATCCATCTAGGTATACGTGTGGGTACAAGCCTACATGAGGCTTTGGGTTTTAGGGACGAACATGGAAAGCTGAACACGTCTGCGATAGAAGCAAGTAAGGGATGGTTAGAGTAGCGGTGGCAGAAAAGTAAAGATAAAGGACAGAAATAGTGGGAAAATGTGGTCATTCTACCTGAAGAGCAGAGAAATGGAACATAAATTTATATTTTTCTTTGTTATAATAAGATCGAGTAATCGAAGTAGATAAGGCATTAGGCCAACATAAAAAAAATGTGTTGTTTTTTTTTTTCTTGCGAGCCTGGTGGTATACGTGTCACCGCCCCGTTATAAAGGGGACGCTCATAGCTAGCAATCATTCATCCTAGTTGACGATTTCGTTTAGTTGACGCTGCTTAACGAACGGATGGCCAGGCATACAAACGAATAGACGGACGGACGGATGAAAGCACAACATATGCTGCGATGGCGACATATCCACGGAGTGAACGATGATGAGTTGGGCGAAGCGTCCATCCGTCCATCCGATATTCCAGTAATGGAATTCCGTATTGAAATATAAACCTAGCGGGGTCCGTCGGGGGCTAATTCCATGCAAGACATTGCAGACAAGGCAATGAAACTTCTTGTTTTCTCTAAATATTCCTACGCAGAAGCATTAAACTTGGACTACGTCTGAAAGGTGTTACAAGCGCTCTCCATTAAAGTGATTAAAAAATGCTGCCTTACGGTTACTGCGAAATACGAAACACTTTTGCTCACTCTATCGCGGGGCATGCTGGCAAAAGTGAACTCGATTATCCACTCTAACTGCAATGCGTTATGTAGGTAGTCATCTGAATTAATTATTTATTTATTTAGATGCGATAAACACTGCTTTGGTGTATATTTTTGTATTTTTAAGAACCACGGTGCAGTGATAACTTTAGCTAAACTAAAATCACGTTTGGCTGCTTTTCTGGCTCCGAAATAAAATAACGACTGCTAGTTGGCTACTGTTTTGGCTGCTTCTGGCAACCCTGCCTCGTTAAAGAGAGAGCACGTGTATTTGTTGATCCTTGCTTTCGGATCTCCGGAATGGCTTCGAGTGTCACCCATTCTTTATGACGATCAGTACTCTCGGTTGCCCAACTATGACTGAAAAAACGTTGAGATCTATTTCGACGTTATTCCTCGCCTGCGTTCCGGTCGCCGAACTGAGGAAATTGCTGGTAAGTCGGTGGCGATCGACTTCTTCAATGACTCAAACTTCGCCATATGCGTGATAGACAAGTTCATCGCACAGTTCTATGATGTAACTCGTTGGTACAACTCGCACAAATGATCGCTTACGAATCCTCGTAACATTCGCGCATGCAGGATACGGTGCCGAGGGAACTACTGACGCAGGAATTTCAGGAAGCGTTGATCGACCGCACAGTTCTCCATCCTACTGCGTTAGCTTACCCGCCGAGGCCGGCGTACATAATCAATTTCCTCAAGTGTCTCATCAACAAGGTACGACGGCTCGCCAACGACTGACATCGCGGTCTCCGGCGACTCCTGGCTAACCGCAGAATCACCCTCGCTTTCGCAGCTAGAAGAAAAAAATGTCGAGATCACAGACAGCCTGTACGTCCACTTTGCCGAGAAACTCGGAGGTGTGAACAGCGACGAAGACATCCCCGGCTTCGTCACGTACACCATCGTGAGTTTTTTCCCGCTGCGTTTGATTGTTCCAGTTTTTTTGTTTTTTTTTTTCGACCGAGCGATGGCGTAATTATACATGGCGGATCGATTGTATTCGTTCTAGGACGCTCGCACGACAGTCACGTTAAAAGAACATGCGGCTTTTGTGGTTGGTGGGACGACAGGCCTCACAACATGGCAGGTGAGACTCCTTGCTTACGAAGCCGTGTATTCCGCGCAAGGTGCGAGAATGTGGCGATCCGTGAGTGCGTAGAAACCACCAGGAACGGCACGGATTTCTGGCACCAAGATCGGCCGTTACCACAGGTACACTTCAGAACGAAGAAGCGATAGTAGAGGGCGCTATCTTAAAAAGGCCCCCGCACTAGCATCTTTTCAGGTTTTGTCAGCATAGAGAAAGCTAAAGTGAAAGGCGGGGAGGCTAACCAGGCGAAAGCTTTCTGGATTGCTAGCGAAGAAGGATACCTGCGGCAGCATCAGTCAGTACCAATAAATTTCCTTAAGGTTTCTGTAGCAACATTTAAAGTTCATGTCGCCAAGCACAAAGATTAAGGCACATGTCACCGAACACTAAGATTAAAGCACGTATCTCTTGATTGTAGTGATAGAGAAATCCAAAGCTACAACCGAAGGCCCTTCAATAGATCCCAGCTCGTGATAAACACTGGGGCCGCACATTTAAACTTCGCTGGTTAACCGTTTGTACAAAGCACTTAAGCGGTGCTTTTTATTTTATTTTTCTTTATTGGTTTTTTTACTGATGGGCCTCAATTTAATTAACTTGTTTCTATCCAATTTTTTTTTTTGTGGGACATTCACGTAATCACATGGACGTCCTTACCAAAAGCATAGGTTGTTCTTTTATATTCCTGCTTAAAACTTTGCACAGTTCATTAGTTTATCGGACGATCCCAAAAGCTTGTCAGCCATGGGCTTGTTGCACATTTTACTGCAGGTATGGCCTTTCAGAGGCTACTGCTTACTAGGATTTACCATTTTAACTTTGCTTTAGGTGATGATTATAATGACATTACGTTTTTCCTTGTAGGCATCAAAGTTTCTGTCTGAATGGTGCCTCGAAAACAGGCATCTCTTGCGTGGCAAGTAAGTTTGAAAACTTCTAGACAGTTGGTTTGCTCGAAGCGAGTGCAGATTTCGGTAACCGCAGCAAATTGTTCCACCGCAGGCGCATTCTAGAACTGGGGTGTGGCGTTGGACTGACTGGCATCGTCGTGTGCAAGACCTGTTGTCCTTTGTCATACACATTCACTGATGGCCACGACGCCGTTCTTCGCTCACTAGTGGACAACCTCAAGTGGAACGGCGTCACGGAGTGCCATGCAAGGGTTGAAACGCTTCATTGGGGCGAGCATGAAAGCTTCGAGGAACGGTGCACAGCAGACGTAATCCTCGGAGCTGGTATGTTGCAGATTTTTGGTGAAATTCCTGAAAACTAAAGCATGCTATAAGACCAGAATGACTGTTCAGGAGCATCAACAATCCACAAATTATGTTTAAAAAAATTAGGTTTAAAAAAGTCCAAACCGGACAAAGAAAAACGCACATAAGAAGCATCTATGCATGTGTTACATTTCATTTTCTACAGTCCAGTTTATGCATTCTAAAGGTATTAAAGTGATAAAAATTAAGTAGGCAGTGAAAGAGGATCCTGCAGTATATCCTTTGCCACAATTCACTGGCAGAGGCCCTGGGAAACTTTCAGTGCTTTGTAATCCTTTATTTTGACAAGTGACTGCAAAAAATTTTTATAAGACGTGACAAAAACACACCAGCAATCGTGCACAGTCTACGTTTTGGGCGTTACATCGATAGTAGATACACAAAACACACTGTGAATGCAATGAGATGCAAACTGATTATAAATATGACCTTTCGTTGTGAAAAGGCCATCTGCATAAAGAAATAGTTACATATGTGTGTTCATTATTGAGTACATCTATACATGTGCAAATTGTTTGTGTACAGTTAGTAGTTTACCAGCCAGTTTGTATACGCCATCTTTCCCTACAGAAGCATTAGAAGTTTGGTCATGAGAAAAAGTGGTGACAGTATACTAACAGAAGCCCACACATTTCTCAATCTATGCTTGTAGTTAATTAGATTTTACAAAACTATTTTTGCCATACTAAACATTTGCATTGTAATGCATAATACATGTATTTTCTCATTTGAAAAAAAAAATGTGCAGAATAACATCCTGTACGTTGACTGTGTGAAAAACCTCTTGTTTCTTTGCAGTGTACACTGTATAGGCCCGATGCTAGAAACCTGTTGAGGTCACACAATTACCAGTATTACAAGTTTTCTTGCATGGGCAGGGGAAATATCTCTCGGTTCCCACTGTACTTACAGTGACGCTTTAGTAATTAATATTATCCGTGTGTATCACGTACTTCGTGCACACTGGTGACATGTGCATGGACAGGTTCACAAAGTGCTTCACAGGCTCGTGTTGCAGTTTTGCCGTAATTGGCTCATCTTATTCATGCTCCTTTTGCTCTTGCTATTTGCAAATTTCTTCAGATCTGGTGTACGACCCGGAAGTCGTGCCAGCCCTCGTCACGACCCTGGCGGCTGTGCTGGAGCACGGTGGCACAGCGTACATCGCGTCGACCGTCCGCAATCCCGAAACTCGTGCGTTGTTCCTCAGTAAACTAGGTACGTTTTTTTAATGGTCGAGTGGTTAGCATCTGGCGTGCTGATTTTGCCAGTGGGCAATGGTTGTTACACTGCTGCGGCACACGTATTTCTTTTACCTTGCTCACTTTGTTATACAGTTGGATTTACATATATTGAAGCAACGTGAAAGAATTAGGTATTGTGCACAAAGGACAGTTGTTAAACCGCCTTGAATGTAGTATTTTCGATATGTAAAAATATTTTATGCATCAAATTACCTCTGTGAAAAATTCTTTTGTTATCCCCTTCAGATTACATACATCTGGAATTGACTGTACCATGGGAAAATATAAACAGCTGACCGCTCTTAGCGGTGCTGCCCCACTGGTAATGATTATTGAACAGACAGCTAGGCACTGTATTTTGTGCTTTCAAATGGTCTTAAAATTTTGAGGGTCTTTTTTAGACTTAATGTTTTGGCAGAAATTCAGTATTTATCAGAGTTTAGTTCCCCAAAGTTTCTGAATTAATCCCCAATTATTTGAAATCTGAAGTTTAATTTTGAATTATTCTCTTAGATGAAATGTTACATAGTTATAAAAACATCCTACCATGCGAAAAATGTTTTAATTGCCTGGAAGATTTGAACGTACAAATACGCATACTTTTGCACACAAGCACAGATACATCAATGCAAAACAACCCAGTTGGTGCATGTTACAACCTTGAAGCTTGTTGTACTAAACGCAAGCATACTTTGCAGGGTCAATTCATTAAGTGTCGTGTTTTAATGCGATGTCACAATGGAGTTGAGCGAATTAGTATGTCTCTTGTCTTACATTCCTGAAGGCCCTGCATACATTGACGTCCCTCGCTTCATGCTCATTAAGCGCTTTGCGATGCATGCAGTCTGTTTGACATGAAGTAAAATTTATATCGGCCAAACCGGCTGATGCATCAATGACTGCCCAAAACATGCCCTTTCGATGAAGAGCGGGACAGGGTCGTATCTGACATTGAAAACGCAAGTCAATGGAGTAAATTGGATTTGTCAACAGCTTTATTAGCGAGTGTTCATTGTTTTTTTATTTGTTCAAAACACGGAGCTTCATTCATAGCCAATAAGAACTAGAAAGTCCATACATAAAAAAAATGTCAAACCTTGCATGCCACATGGTATGCCGTATCCCCCAGTACACTACACTCTGTTGCAAGTTTGCACTTATTTATTTTTCTCACTACGGGGCCCAAAGGCATTTACAGAGAAGAGTGAATTATAGCAATTAACTAATGACAGCTTGTTTTAATGTTCACCACATCAGAGGAGGCAGAGGGTAGGCTTTATATTTCAGTTATTAGCAGTTCTTGCAAGGAAAGGGTTCAAAGGCACATTCGTGCACTTTTTCGAAATTATTTTCAAGTTGTTTCATGGCAGTTGCATAGAATTAATGACAGGACATTCGATTTCTAGGAATAGGATTAGCACGACATGCATTGTGACAAGGGATTTGCAGCAAGAAAGTGAAAAGACACCAAAACACTGTCAAGTTTCAGCTTTAAAGCCACGAAATTACTGTTTTGTGGTGGTAAGAGCGAAAGGGTAGGCCTTACAGCAATCCTTAGGTCTTATGGAAGTCACCACTTCCCCCTGTTCATTATAATCAGAAGGACCAATAGATTAAAAATTATAAAAGAAATATCGAAAAAATAATTTTTAACTCTTGTGTTACCGCACGAAAATGGTTGTTTTTAATACGTTTCAAGAACATAGTTTTGCCAGTAGGAAAAGCACTCTAGCACGCATCACAGCATACCAAACTTTGCACAATGAAATGCTCTTTCCAAAAAATATATGTTGTAGAGCAACAAAAGTGTTTTAGGATGAACAAAAGTGTGAAAAGTGTGAACTTTTTGGTTGCCAGATGGTAAACAGTGCAATAAAAGACATTATATATGCAAAAATATTCAAAACTAAGAGAATTCAGAATATACATTTTGTAGAAATATTACCCAGGAACAATGTAAAAAATAATTAATGTACGAAATGTTCCTCTTCACATAGATAAAGAAAATCAGAACCGAGGTGCTGCTCCATTGCTCGTGCCATGCGGTGAAGCATTGCATAGTTTTTCGTGAGACACAAGTGTGCTCGTACTCTCTTCTCAGTAAATTTTTGTTGTTTTGTGAAAAGAGTCTCCAGGTGTTCCAATATAGATGGATACCCGTGGTCTGAAAAATTCCTCTGTGAATGAAGTGTCCAATGAACTTCTATATTTCATCTGTAGTGGAGCATACGCACCAATGCGCCTTCGAAAGATAACGAAAAGCCCCGTGCTCTGCTTGCGCGAGAGTTCGTGCCGCCTTTGCCAGACTTGCCGTACGCCCATTTTCCGTCGCGACCTCGTTGCGACTTCTCTGCTCCAATAAACGTCATCACATTTGGTGGAGGCTGCTGAGATCCCCAAGCAGACCTGGAGCTCCGCTCTCGCAAGTTGCCCAAGAGACTACCGCGAAACATGACTGACGCAGTCGCCAACCAGCCCGTCCCAGCCCAGCCAGCACCATCGGCTGACCCGTCTACCTGCCCCGGCACTACTCGCCAGCGGGACCCACCAATCTTCAGCGGCAGTGGTGAGCAAGACGTCGAAGACTGGCTCTCCTTGTACGAACGCGTAAGCGCCAGCAACAAGTGGGACGACGACTCTAAGCTCGCCTACGTTATCTTTTACTTGGCAGACGTAGCTAAGCTTTGGTTTACCAACCGCAAAACCGCCATCGCCAACTGGTCCTCCTTTAAGACCCTCGTAACTGAAGCGTTCGGCTGACCAGAGGTCCGCAAGCTCCGCGCTGACCAGCGTCTGCGCCACAGAGCCCAGCAGCCTGGCGAGAAGTTTACGAGTTACATTGAGGATGTGCTTGACCTCTGCAAGCGTGTTAACCCATCTATGCCCGAAGAAGAGAAAGTTCGGCAGATTCTCAAGGGCATTGAGGATGGCGCATTCCAGATGTTGCTAGCGAAAAGCCCGACCGTCAGCGTTCCATCCCCCGACAGAGTGTCTCACCACCGGATTCGATCTGGACTGTCGCACTCGCAAATGCCTACGTTCGCCAAGAAAGTCTGTCCAACCAGATCAAAGACTTCATCAGGGAGGAAGTCGCCCGACAGCTCTCCCTGCTGCCGCATAGCGACGCGCCCACCGCAAGTCTGCCTTCGACACTGCAGCAGGCCATACGCACTGAAATTTGCGATGTCCTACCTTCAGTGCAGGCCCCTTACGCATGCACTTCAGCAGCATCTAATCTCTCAGCTGTCAGCTACGCACCACCTGCGCCATCTTCACCTCTCAGCTACGCAGCTGTGGTTGCGCGGCCCCCAGCGCATGCAGTATCCTTATCGGCTCCACCTCCTCCGGCAGCGCCTCCGGTTTACAGGCCCTCACCTCGCTTTTTCCGTCCATCTAATGAGTGGCGCACCCATGACAACCATCCTATCTGCTTCGCGTGTGGCATCGCTGGCCACATTGCACGCTACTGCCGCCGCCGCCCCACACCTGCGTACGCCTCCTTTGGAACTCCTACCTATGCGTCGCAGCAGGCCACCACGTCTGCATACGAACAGAGGCACTCTGACTCGGATCGTCGCCCATCAACTTCTCGTTTCTCATCTCCTCGTCGCCGATCGCCATCTCCTTCGCGTCGTAGACCACCTTCTGAAGAGGGAAACTAATCAGTGCAGTTCCAGAGACAAGAACTGCAACTTCCGCGCAATTATCAAGGCCTCCATTTTTGCCGCAAAATGTTGTTGATGTCAATGTTGAGGGAGTCGCCACACAAGCGTTAATTGATACTGGGGCGGCCGTTTCTGTGATGAATGCAAAATTTTGTCGCAAACTGAAGAAAGTGACCACATCTCTCTGTGGCATCGTGCTGTCCACGGCTAGCGCGCAACACATTCATCCCTCGGCTGTGTGTACGGCGTGCGTCGTCATGCAAGACGTTTCGTACATCATCCAATTTTTTGTACTACCATCTTGCTCTCATGACCTCATGCTGGGTTGGGATTTCTTATCACGTCATGAAGCTATCATCGATTGTTGCCGTGCGGAAGTGTCCCTAGTGCCAAGTTGTGAATTTCCAGCACCTCCACCAAATATGATGACGTTTATTGGAGCACAGAAGTGCAACGAGGTCGCGACGGAAAATGGGCGTACAGCAAGTCTGGCAAAGGCGGCACAAACTCTCGCGCAAGCAGAGCACGGGGCTTTTCGTTATCTTCCGAAGGCACATAGGCGTTGGTGCATATGCTCCACTACACATCTAGCATCACCTCTTTTCATGAGCCACCTCGCTCTGCATAGGTTGGCGCTTCCATATACGCATCCAAGCATATTTATGTTTCGTTTTTGCACATATCCTATTAAAGTAGGATAATATCGCGTGCAGTTCTAAAAGGTTTCGCACTGTTCCATAGTCAGGGCCAAGATGTGCTCTGGAAACCTTCTTGTAGTAAGGAGAAGCTCTGCAGCCAGCACCAGCACACTGCGCTCCAGCGAAGTGTGGACCACGTGCATAACCAGAGTAGCTATAAAATTGTGCACAAAGGTGAGAGGCTATACACAGTTGTGGCGGAGGAGACAACTTGAGGATGTATAGTACAAAAGAAACCCATGAATGGCTGTGGATGTTTCAGGGACGACATCATCGCCATAAAACTTGAAGCTGAGGTGCTGTCATCTTCGAACTCTAAGTTCGCCCTTACTCAATTCAGGTGGGGTAGCAAGAGAGTTTTGATAAGCACACGAGTTTTGCACCGCTGGTGCGCATCCATGCGCGCGTGACGACGACGTAATAGGAGCGACTGGTGACACTAGATGCAACCCTGTGTCTGATATAACTATGAAAGCAAAACAAAAGTTGCTGGAAATGGTCATAGAGAACCGCTTCGACACTTTAAACATGCGGCGGACCTTGGCAAATATTTTTTGTATAACAAATTTTTCCAGACTCCTAGCAAGAGCTCTCTATTGAATAGCTGGCATATTATTATGGCCATTATTACAGTTTAACACTGTCAAATAGCGAAGCTGACATTTTAATTTGATATTCGGCTTGCAAAGATTATTTTCATTACAAAACTTCGATGTTACTGTACAATAATTATGAGGGGCATGCACTTCTGTCGAGTTCCCCAGCCTAGTGCACTTTTCAAACAATACGTGCACATTGGTTCGTGCAAAGGTCCGTCAAAAATCACTGTGTTGCCCAAACGGGCAAATTCGAATTGATTCTGAAAGTTGAGTGCCTGAACTATCTACTAGAAAGTGCTGGGTGCATGAGAAATAAATTTAACATGCCAAAATAGACGATCCGAAAGCGTCGATCACCGGTGATCAATTTGAATAGCCGTGGCAATGATAAAGTTAGAACTTGAATCAAAGGAGATAGCTTAAAATAGTTCTCGTGTATGACAAAAGTACATTCGTATAATTTAAGCAACATATTTAAGAAAATACACTCCTTAAGCTTTGTTCCAACGTGCAACTCTTTTGTGATGCAGTGGGATGTAAATCTAATAATAAATGCAGTAGTAAATATTAATATATACTGATGTAAAACAATTGCTTAAGCAGCTACTTGTGCGTGTTCACCTTGCAAAAATACTTTTTGTTTTTGTCTTCTCTCTTTCTGCAGGTGAGGCATCGCTGCAATACGAACCATGTGCAGGTCCACGAGAAAAGGTTTTCTTCTATGATCGCTCTTGCCCAGTTGCCATAGACAAGATCACAGCATGTTCTAGATGACACGAAAATCCACACTATATCACGTTATGTAGGATAGGTAATTTATGTTTCCGGTGGCTGCATTTCGATAGGGTTAGAATGCAGACACAAATACGCCTCTGTATGCTTCGATTTAGGTGCACGCTAAAGAATTCCAGGTGGCCGAACTTATTCCGAAGGTTCCCCACTATGGCATGCCTCATATCCGTGTCACGCGGGTATATATCATTATCATCATCATTAGCCTGACTACGTCCACTGCAGGACAAGTGCCTCTCCCATGTTCCGCCAGTCAACTCAGACCTGTGCTTTCTGCTGCCATTTTTTACCCTCAAACTTCTTAATCTCATCTGCCCACTTAATTTTCTGTCTCCCCCTAACCCGCTTGCCTTATCTGGGAATCGCTCAGGTCTTTCCGCTTAAACTTCCTTCCTTCTTCTTCCTGGGAACCCAGTCAGTTACCATTAATGACCAGCGGCTGTCCTGTCCACGTTCTACGTGCCCGGCCCATGCCCATTTCTTCTTCTTGATTTCAGCTATGACATCATTCACCCTGGTTCGTTCCCTGATCCACGCTGTTCTTTTTAGGACGACGCAGCAAGACCTGCGTCGTCCTGAACTTAAGCTGAACGCTCTTTGTAAGTCTCTAGGTTTCTGCTTCATAGCTAAGTACCGGCAAGACGCAGCTCTTGTATACCTTCCTCTTGAGGGACAGTGGCAATCTACATGTCATGATTTGAGAGTGCTTGCCAAATGTGCTCCACCTCTTTCTTATTCTTATAGTTACTTTAATCTCGTGGTTCGGCTTCGCAGAGTATACCTGTCCTAAGTAGACGTAGTCTTTCACAACTTCAAGTGCACTATTACACATCTCGAAGCGCTCTTCTCTTCTGAGGTTGTTGTACATTACTTTCGTTTTCTGCAGATTAATTTTAAGACCTACTTTTCTGCTCTCCTTGTCTAACTTTGCAATCATGAGTTGTAGTTCATCCCCTGAGTTACTCAGCAATGCAATGTCATCAAAGAATCTCATCAGTATAACACGGGTATATATACCCGTGTTATATTCATGTTGCATGTGTTATACCCGCGTTGCGCGTAACTTTTGAAAAACCATCGAAACAACACAACCCCGTCATTTCAATAGAGTTGTCGCGCTTCCACACAGCAGCTTTCAGTGGCCGTTGAGTGGTTCAGGTGCTTCGGACAAATAAGTGTAGGGCACTACAGATAATTATTTTCGTATTCAAGTAACCGAAAGTTAGATAATATAAATCTCCTTAAAAGCTCAAAAATGTCTGTTGTTTTTGTTTAAACATCTTAATATATGATTTTTCATAGCTAGTTAAAATCAAATATTTCTTAAACACTTCATTAAAGGGACTGTCTACCGCACGGAAAAATTTTTCTGGTCGTGGTGCAAATGAGAAGATCATTCGTCACATCGGTGGCAACGAGCATGTTTTCGTGCCAGAAAAAAAGAATTACAATTTTAACTTGATGTTGAAAGTCGACAGAAAATTACCGCTAGCATCACCCAACAGCGATGTGGCCAATCTACTGGTAGGACTATAAGTCCTTGCATATGGACCTATTTTGATTAAAAACAAATGTCTATAACAGGAAATTATATTTTACCAACTTGATGCAGCTTTATGTTGTGCCAGAGACTTTTTTTTTCACGCGCATTCAAAGAGGTGCCCAGTGGCACTGCCGGCAGAGTGTTCACTTGCCTGCATGTCTAAATGCAAAAGGCGAAGAAACGCGAGCATGGCGTCCGCGCCAGCTCATAAGAACAACAATAAAAGTGTGTGCATATCTTAAACAACCACTAAGGTATTTGTTTTATTAATAAATGAAACTTGATGAAGCCCCCAAAGCCTGCGCACCGTTTCAGTTCGACTTTCATGGCCAGTACAATTGTCATCACCTCCACCGACCAGTGTTGTGGGTATTCATCCCACTTATGGAAGGAGACTGAACACTGATTTAAAAATTTGGTTTTAAAGATTTTTACCAATTTTCTGGAGAAACTGCTGCAAGGTTAGACACTTCAGATGGCACTCTTTTTATTGTGACACAAAACAGTAAAGCACTAGAAGAAGGTAGACAGTCCCTTTAGATAATTAATAATGATCGTATATGATGCTTTTAAATCATACTGTAAACGAAAGGGTACGTACGCGCCGTTTCCTCTTCCATTGCTCAATTGACATTGCTGTTTCGATGGAGTTGTGGGGTGCTTCGTTGACTCAATAAGACTATCGACTCGACGGCCTTTCAATTGTCCCGTGTAGTCGCTCATGCTTGACCACTAAGTCAATAGACTACATGTCGGTTTGAAGGCCATCTTAACGTCCTTGTGACAGGATTACTAGGATCACATCATGGCTCTTCCGGGCAAAACCACAGATTACACACGTGATTACTACTAAGCACTGCAAATTCCACCTTCTCACGATTGATTCGCCTTACGTGCTCAGTATCTTTAGTTATTATGGGAGTGATTATTAAATGTAGCAAGAGTGACAGAAATGTACCCTAATTGTACTTTAATCAAGAAACTTCCCTCCGGGCTCTCACTGGCAAAATAGCAAAACAGTCTGGCTATAGTTCGTCAATTACCCCCGATTTCCAGTACGGTGGCTTGTTGGTATCGGGCAACACACAGTACGATTGATGGAGCCACAGAGGTTCCTACAGAATTTACTGGTGAGAACTGTGGTACTGCGATCATTCAACCATCGTGGGAATGATGGTTAGTGCGAGTACTTGCCTAATCTTCGTGCTTGCAACTTCAAGCCCGCTCGTGGCTTTGCGTATTGTCGTGTGTTGGCGTTCGTGTCAGATAAAATTGATCGTTGCTAACTTTGCGAGCCGATTTATATTGGTGAGCCTAGAAGGTTAGGGTGGTCAACTAAAAACCGTCGAACATTTGCTAAACTTTTCTCGTGACAGAGCGGCTCCAGTGCAAATGGAGCTTAGCAGAGTTGAAAGTACAAAGCTTAGAGAAATCTGCGTACCACCGATCAATAATTCTCGTGCTTGCTGAAGCACCATGCGTTCTAGTTCTCGTAGACACTGGCGCCACAATTCCCTGTAACGTATTATTAGTGAAACTCTATAGATGGAGCAAGTGGTATCTACATGTAGCAATTACTGCACAGCCAGAGTCAAAAGTTTAGGGACCGCTATACGCAAGAAAAACACTGAATATTACCACTGCCTCAGCGTGCATTGATTTGATTGATCGATATGTGGGGTTCAACGTCCCAAAACAACCATATCATTATGAGAGACACTGTGGTGCTGGGGCTTGGAAATTTCGACCACCCGAGGTTCTTTAACATGCACCCGAATCTGAGCACACGGGCCCACAGAATTTTCGCCTCCATTGAAAATGCAGCTGCCACAGCCGGGATTTAATCCCGTGACTTGCGAGTCAACAGCCGATTACCTTAGGCACTACACCACCGCAGCGGGGCGCCTCTGTGTGCAGTCTTGAATTCAGACTTCTGACCTGGTAGAAAACGCACTAACATCTTCTACTGTGTGGAAGTCAAAAATGGCTGGGAAGTCCAAGATCTCCTCAAACCTTGCGGACTCTAAACTTTTGATGCTTGGCTGTATGTACAATGTGCGTGTGGTGTGGAGTAGATAAAGCATGATATGGCAGTTTGTGGAGAGAAGCTATACTTTCAATAAGCAAAGATTAAGTAGGAGTTTGTGGGGAGGTGTGGAGTGACAGCGGAGCGCAGTCCCGGAGCACCTGCGACATGTCCAGTTATTCACCACGTTTCGTGAATTCCATGGTTGAAGGGGTTTGCTGGCAAGATCATGTATTGGATATAGAGCTATGGTGGTGTTGGTTAGCATGTTCGTTTGCATTTGGTTTAGTCTGGCATGTGTCACGGGAAAGCACCTTCAATCCTTTTATTCCATTACACTATAAAGAGTGGCCACATCACTGGCAACTGATATGTTTGTTTCAGTCTCACACGTTTCTGTTTGCTGAAAATCAGCAGCACAACTTTCGGTCATTGTTCCGTGTGGGATAGTCACGTGACCTGAGCAGAAACGTCACATATAACATGGCGATATTGCAGGTACTACGACGTCGTATGCAATGTTTCTTGTGCGATGCTATATGTGATCAACTCGCAACTGCCATGACATACGGGAAAGTCACGTGACTGTCGTGCATGTGACAGACTCGCACAAATTGCCATCACATGAGTGAGAGTGCCAGAACTCTCCCGTATGTAGCGGCAGCTGCAGATTATGTACTGCTGCTCCATTTAGGGTGTGGATGCATACTGGAGTTTTTACCACTTTCAAACTTGCGACTTTCCTACAACTCTCGGCTGTCTATTAGTAAACAACTGTACAGTTCGATGCCCGAAAATGCTTTTTGAACGTAGAAAGTCAGGGAACGATCTTCAAGTATGATAAAAAAAGTGCCTTTTTTAAGGATGGTGGTTGCTAGTAAAAAAACAAGATTTCAAATAACGTGAGATATTTGACATGTATATAGAGTGAATGAAGGTGCCAGGATTCACATTGAAAATCTGCAGGAGAACCGTGTTGTACTTTGTATTGATCGTCATTTTAACAATCAATGAGCTTCTCGTGTCACCGTACGTACCAATATTATGACAAAATCTGTTTATTAGATAGCTGTTAGATTGCTTTTGCCTTTCATCAGTTTTACTAGTGACATTTTCAAAGTGAGAGCCCCACTTTTTAGACCAATGATCAATGATTTCTGGCGTATGTTCATGTGCAATGTACTGTTTCAATGAGAACACATGAGATGTGCAATACAGTCGCAATGTCAAAAGACAGCATTGTGACAATCTTCTCTAGTTGCTCTTGGAAACAATGAGTGCATCAGACTTCATGACTCAAAATAAAGGCACGCATGGGTGGCAGATGTTTTAGAGGGTTCAAAGAGAAATAAAGTGTTACTTCCTGGTAGATGTGTGTGCAGCGTGCTAACGAATATTAGTGTGTAATGCACAATTACAGCATCAATAATATTTTCTTTTCAGCAAGGCCTATCATTCTTGTATTCCTATTGTATTGCCAATTCTTGTATTGCTTATCACAGTTACTAACCATTGTTTATTTAAGAAGAGGCGGACACCAGACATAGAACTTTGACCAGTTTAGATTGTGCCTTGGAGACTACATGTGGAAATTTTTTTTATGAAACACTTTTATGCAAAAGACTTCACCTCGCGATGAATCAGAGTACCTTTTCACTTGACCCATTCTTTATCCACAACTGAGAGGTTTTGATACCCCAGTCGACTTTATCACATGAGACAATCTTCAATGCTTGAAAATATATTCTCACACATGAACATGAAGATACACGAATAGAAACGAGTGTTTTACTATGTGAAATGAAACGGGCACTAACAAACGACCTCTTTAAATGAGCCAAAGCGAACAGCAAATGTTAGCAAGTACTGTGCAGTCCATTTTAAAAGGGAACATTTACTTTATAGTGCCATGATGACAAACATGGCACAGAAGTTCACAAACAAGCTTTCTGTGGGTAAGCAGTACACTTCATTATAGTATCGGGTACTTCTTTCCAGCGATGAAGACGTGCCAAGTTATGCCACCTTATCACTCGCTAGACGTTCTCTTTGACAACGGACTATACTGTACATTTCAGATATTCATCAGTAATTTCTAGGGGTGTGCGAATAGTGAAATTTCACGTCAAGTCCGATGTCTAATACAAAACATTATTGAAAATTGAACGAAAGGACTAAAAAAAAGAAATCTGCTCAGGTCCTCAAGCACATCACATGGTGAGTGCCTGCTACTGAAAGACTACAAGCCGTCATGAAGAAACATGAGCCTTTCCACGTGACTTGGCTTTGGGCTCTCTTGCTGTGATGTTAGTGTTTTCTGTAGTTGAAAACATGCGCTAACTGGGAACCTCAGTAACAGGGATGGGAAGGTATTGGAAGAAAAGCAATTTCAGCAGTACTCGTTTAATGTACAGCTCCATGCTGCGAAATGTGGCAGCGGCGACAGCATGGGGTGGAGAAATATTTACTTGTGAAGTGAATCGGGACGAAGTTGGGACGTTTTACAACACTTGAGCCACATGTAAGCAAACTACAGTGCAAGAAGTCCGTGCATTCATTTCGGAAGCTTAGTTGTGAAGAGCTTAACAGTATTATCACGTGTGTGTTTGTTTACATGTATAGAAGACATAATTTTCTTTAAATAAACATGTGCTTGCTTTTAAATCAGTACGGAAGGAAAGTTTTGAATGTAATGACATTACCGTTAATGTCAGTCAACATCGTACTATTGTCCTTGGCCGCATTTTAGACATTCGTCCTGTCGAATTATTCGAAACTTCAAATATTCAAAAGTCAAATTGAATTATTCGATTCGAATCCGAAACTCCAATATTTGTTCTCCCCAACTAATTTACCGATAGAGTGCAAGCACATACAAATGTGACAAGTCCTTCACGTTTTCTCCAAAGGGCAAGAAACGGCCGAACGAAAACCAGAAATACATAATAGCTGACGGGCGGAATCGAACATTTATGAATATGAAACAAAGACAGGCTGTGTGATCTCTGCATCATTCTGTTGGAAGCAACGTTAAATTTTGTTTTGAAAATGCTCCAACCTGATCGGGTTAGCAAACTTCTGCATTCCGTTAATACTAAGGTGCCTAATTTCAAGTGACACTCTCACAAAAAGACGTGGCAATTATACGCAGCATCATCCCTGGTGATGCGGTAACACTTTTCATCGTCGGAGCCCAACACAGGCTCTTCAATTCTTCACGCGCTCGTACACTCGGAAATGGTACGTGATGTCGCCTTCCTGCTGCGGTTCCTCTGGCACGCCCTCCTCTTTGACGAGTCGGAACTTGCTGGTGTCGAATTCTGGAAAGAAAACGTCGCACTCGAACTCCTTGTCGATTTCGGTGAGGTATATGCGGCTGCAGTGAGGACTGTCCATCAGCTCGCGATACAGGCGGGCCCCTCCGATCACAAACACCTTGTCAACCTGCAAGGATGGACGACAAAAGCGAAACGGAATTCAGGGTTTGACGGAAACCTATGTGGTTAGGAAAATTCATGGCGGAGAATAACGAACGTCGACCAATCGTAAGAACCAAAATGAAATTGACGTTTCAGCCCCATTACGGCGGCCTTGTTCACAAAAAATCTTTGTCAACAAGGCCCCTGTAGTGGGGCAGAAACATCGGTTTTGTTTTGATGGATGATTGCCTCCAGTTATCTTCTGCCAAAAGTGAAATGGTAAACTTGAAGGGACAAAGGTGAAAATGATGTAGGCCAGTGTGCCAAGATTTAGGTGCACGTTAAAGAACCCCAAGTGGCTGAAATTTCCGGAGCCCTCTGCTAGGACGTCTCTCATAATCATGTGGTGGTTTTGGGACATCAAACCCCACATATCAATTTAACTTGAAGGGCTCATGAGCCATTTTTTCAAGTAATAATCAAGTGACTTCAGCATGAGAGTTTGTTGCCAGGCAAATCGATTGACACAAAAACTTCACTGTAGAAAAGATCTTTTAGTCCCACAAAAATAATCGTATCTTTGGCATTCCTTTCTTGCATTAGCGCCACGTGCCCGGCCCTTTTAGGTCTCAAACGACATGCACCCTATCAGCGTGGCTCATCACTCTTGATAGGAAAGTGGTCAGTGTTGAGCTCTCAAGAAAGGTAGCACAAGCAAGATGAGGATTATTGCTGTGAGACGAAAAGACGCCCATTTTATTATATATATATATTTTTAGTGTTTTTGAATATGTCAAGATCAAGCGGAGTTTGAAGGGTTTGTCACACACCTAAAGCACCTTCTTAGCTTGTACCGACGAGTGTGACCAGTACACAGGGAGAGATGCCACGAGGGAAAGAAGTCAAGTTGGCATACACTATGACCCTGAGCACGCACATGATAAAATTCGATCACATTCTCCTGTTGCGATTCCTGGGAGTGCTAGTGTGGCTACTGTGGAAAACATATGGCACACTGCAATGCAAAAATACGCAACCAAAGGAAGGAACGCAAACAACGATGATTTTCAGCTATTGTTGTTGTTTGTGTTCCCTTCGTGTCTTGTTTATTTTTGCGCTGTAGTGTGCCATAAGTATGTACCAACAAGTCCAACTTGCCCACTTTATTAGAACGTGAAACTGGCATAGGGCCATAGCCTGTGCCAAGAAGCGCAACTGACCCAAACAGCACTCTAGATTTATGTCGGCTATTGGCCAATGTCATGCCATATGTTGTTCGATGTGGAACAGCTGAGTCGCCAGCTTTGAAGCGTTAGCACAGGCCTCTGTACGAAAAGAAGGTGCTTGAAAAAGTATCAACTTTGCGCTGTGCTTTTAAGCTCTCCTTGCCACACACAACTGCAAGATTTGGCTGAGCTGTTCATAGCAGTGTCAGCGTTCTGAAGGATGTTTTCTTACAAGGTTAGGTGGGTAGTTCATCACCACTATAAAGAAATTTTATTCCGTTGGTCAACATGAAACGGGGCTTCCTTGCTCTGTCGCATGTAATTCGTTTTTCTAACTTGTGATCAGAGTGGCTGTGTGTTTCATGACTGCTTGGTTGGGAAGCAAAGACAAAAAAGCTTCCGCAAAATCCCCAAGCGGGTGCTAAAGAGCGGGCAATGTTCAGACACGAAACTATTTCATTACCTAATGTGCCAATACCCACTTATTGTCGTAGTAGAGCATCAAGTCGAGCTCGTTGGCAGATGGTCATCTTGAAAGAGGCTGTCTGTGTTTCTAGCACAGTAAACAAACTTTTTTCAGTATGAACCACATATGGTCACCTTTTGTTTTAACCTGTACATTTCAAACACTCGCTAGTTTATTTTTACGTAAGCTCTGCCAGAAGAGTTTGCAAGAAAGGCAATTAACAACGTAATTCATGATTTTAAATAAACAAGGAACCGCATGGCTCAAAACTGGTCTTCTGACAAGCAATAATTTAACCCTTTCAGACGCCATCTATGAAGAACTGCTTGTAAATGCGTCAAATCGCTACGTTACTGCTAGGCACTCGGTATGCTATTGCGACAAGAATAATGAGATAACTCTCAAATTTAGGGGTGTTATGGCAACTCATCCTAAGTAACTTTTAATTTAAGATCTCTTTACCCTAAAGTCATACATGCATAAAACAAGCTCTCAAGAAATTGAGAATTACCTCAAGAAATTGAGGTAAGAAATTTAGTACAAATTTATTTTCTGCTAGTTCATTTTGAGCTCAGAAAAATTCTTCTTTTCACATTGCTCGCAGGAAGTGGCACGTCGCACAACTCGCCAAACGTGGTAGTCCTTTCAGAAAAGTCATCATATGTATCAGTATACTGCAAAATGAGGTTAGATAAAGACGAATTTTTATGCAGGAGGTTCAATTCATCCAAAGTACAATATATCTTGCTCTTTCCTAGCACAAACTTGATGCAAATAGTGAAGACGAGTAATGTACACAATTGTGTACATAGCGTCTCAAAGGGTTAATGCAACTGGTTGTGCTTCAAGAAACTAGTAACGCTAACGAAAAGCAGCCACACAGCACTTGCCTTTCCGGCATCGACAAGATTCTGCAAAATCTGCACAGCGTCTGGAAAGCTTTGCGCCACGTGGTGTCCCTCTGGAATCTCGGTCAGTGTCTTGCTCACCACAACGTTTATCCTGTCATAAACAAGTAGTAACATGTTGAGACATCGACCCGGTGCAAATCTAAAAATATGCCGAAAACTATTGAGCAGCTTCATATGAAGCGGTTGATACCTTGCCTAAAAAGTCGAAATGGACACATTGCTTAAAGGGTCACTGAAGACAAATATCCACCTACTTCGGAGTGAAAAGCCAATATTTGAGAACACAAATATTATACACAGCAGGCCTTTGGTAATCAAGAAATTAGAGGACCCACTACACCAAATTTGGAAACTCGAGGTTCTTGTGTGGTTTGAGAGCCCTGCGTGCAGGGGCACTTCTGACTGATTAATAGTGACGAGCGTTGCCTACGAGATAGTTTTATTTGGTTTTGAATAGTAGCGCTCATCTGAGTTATCAGCACTAATTGAGATCTTTTCTGGTTTGACGTAGACGGAGGCTTCTTAAGACATTCAACGAGTGAGGCAAGCATTGTCGACGTCAGAGAACACTTGCAGGGCGCGCACAATAGTCCAACTAGCACTTGGCAAGGACTATTGTTCATCACCCCTCTTGGTCTGTTGTCGGGCTGCTCTTGAGGTGGTTTTGGCTGCTTAAGCCAGGAATGCTTTTTTTTTTTCTGGAGGGGACATGCTCAAAGCGCTTACATAGTTTCGTTCCTACCTGCCCTTGGGTCCCCCCCAATTTAAAAATGGTGCATTCATTGTCACCGAAGCTGGAGCGCCCGTAATCTCAGGTGCTCCCCTGCTGTGGGGCGCTAGTTTCTCATGATAATCGCACGGGCTTTTCAAACTGATGCACGATCGTTCTAAATTAGCGATGCTGGCATTAATTATACGATGCATTAGAGCAGAGATCACCAAACTGCAGGCCGCATGCGGCCCACATGGCAGTATATTGCGGCCCCTGGCACAACATAAGTACCTATTCCCCCCCCTCCCCAAATACTTACTAGCTGAAGGCGGACTTGACATTTTTTACCTGAAATGATGTTTACACTTGTAACCTATGTTTGTAAATTGCAACCTTGTCACATACCAGCAGAAAATAAGCGTAATTGCTATTCCAGTTTTGTACATTATCGCTAATATTCCAATTTTTTTTTCTTCTTGTTGTTGACTCCTTTCTCTCCGCTCCCCTCGGTCTACTGCCCTTCACCTGAAAAGACTGCCGACCCCTGCGTTATAGCATTTCCGATTCGATTTCGGGATTACCAGACACAAAGCTATAAATTGCTGTAAAAAAGTTGTGCATAAAATGTTCGCTCTGGGGTGTCTTCAAAAACACTTGTGGAACATTCATGTACTATCCCCCGATGGCGTAGAAGGGTCTCGGTAAAATTATGTGCTATTGTTTGTACTATCCACAAAAGAAAGCAGTGCTACACTGGATTAGAAGATGAAATAAAATACAGCACGCACATTTCAGTTTGATTTATGGAAAATAGAAAAGAACCTTTTGACAATACTCTTGAGAATGATGCAAGTTTCCTTTTTTGCCCGGCTGTGCTCTGCTGCATGACAGTGCTGGCTGCCGGGTAGTAAATTGGACAGGATATGGCGAATGGCATGTTAAAAGGCTAGTATTCATTGCGTGCACCTTAAACTGTGATAACGATATGCAGGTCACTAAAATGCAATTTTCTTTCAAACTAAGCAATTCCTTGGCAAGGAAATTTCAACAATCACCGTCAACTTAGTATTTTTCTTGAGTGTTCGTTTAACTAAGTTAACTAAACTAAAAATGATGAGTGGGGAATGACCGTGCCTGGTCAACAATCTTAGTAAGAAATAATCCTAGAGAATATGAAAATCGTCTTGGCGCTGCATAGAGCAATATATACACTTAAAATATGGAATCATTTTACAGTGTGTAAGCTGTTGAAACACAGGTTATCTTCTTTAACCGGCTACTTATTTTGTGATGTCACACACTGTGATTTTGTGATAGAACACTAATGGTAACGAGCATCCAGCCGTACAATGTTCTGTACTATTAGTGCAGTAGCTGGTTATTACTATTGTAAGAACACAACGGCTTTCGTACAAGCACTGCATTTACGGTGGTCACTTAATACTCCTACATTTGGTCATTCGTTACTGCAGGCATGCACGGTACTGCCATAACTACCTAGCACAAGCACTACCATGCTGTGCCATGGTGCTACTACAGCAGGCTACTCTTTATCTATAGACTTCGTAGGTGTAAAAGAGGCCTCGGCTACTACCATGACTTTTACTGGCACCGTGTGCTATAGCTATCCTTTGCGAGAACTCAAACTGCTTCTGACAACGCCAACAGCTCATTACTAAACCTTCAACACATACAGTTCATAATTAATGTCGAAGTCCCATTTTCATATTCGAAATATCGCAGTCAGATCCTTCGCATAAGCTGAAGATGACAGCCAATCATGCCTAAGAGATTCTCTTTTGATAGAAAGTTCCCATGTAGCTCCCAGTTAACTTACTTCGTACAGGACGAACACCTACTTCCACCAATGACTGATTGCTGTAGCTAATTAGCAAGAATAGTTGCTAGTACCGCTAATTATTGCCAATGGCACATGGTCATCTTCGAAACATAATGATTGATTTCTCTATGCAAGCTGAAGATGACAGCCAATCATGCTCAAGAGATAAAATTTTAATTGAAAGTACACTATGCAACTCGCAATTGATGTACACCATATTGTACAAGAACCACGCTCACTACCAAAGATGGCAACAGCTAGTTGGCCACATCTAATGAACACAAAGTTGATCATGCAGCTAATTAATGCCAAAGTCGTATGGCCACACGCGAAATATTACTGTTGGCCCCCCGGCACAAGCTGAAGATGACAGCCAATCATTATCACGGTATTCTATCTCGACTTAAAGTGCACTATGGGACACTAATTTAATATACAACCAATAGGAAAACTACAACTGTTTCCGACAATGCCAATTGCTAGTTACTGCGGCTGTAAGACATATAGTTACTAGAGCAGACTGTGCAGCTAGTTAATGCCAGAGTAGCTGAAGATGCCAGCCAATCAAATTCAAGAAATTAGATTTTGAATAAAAGTGCACCATCTAACTCCCAGTTAATTTATCATTATTAACATGCCTGCGCTTTCCTTTCTCTTTCTTGTTTTCCTTCTTTCCTTGTACAAGAACTGCGTATGACTTCCGACTGCCACAAGGGCTACTTGTTACCACAGCTAATCAACACAGATAGGTTGCTAGTGAAGCTAATTAATACCAGTCACATGGCCTCATTGGAGAAATGGACTAGCAAGTGCGAAATGATTTAAGACATAGTGCAAACAAAAGAACACCAGGCACGGTGAAGACGACAGTGCAGCGTCCAGTTTGCTGCCTTCACTTTTTTCGTTCTTTTATTTCTTTACGCTGAATTAGTCATGTCTGAAGGCAAAAGATTGCGAGTGGCGCCTCTACGCTAGCTGCAGACGACGGCCAATCACGTAGAAAGTATTTGATACTGCACTGTGCGACTCCCTAAATATGCTAGCTTCTGTGCAACTGAATCGAGCCCTGATCACGTGGCGAAGGATGGATAGATTGATTGATATGGCTGTACCCTTTAGATCGGGCGGTGGCTAACGCCACTTAGCCGTAATACTTAGTAAACCAACAACTAGATTTATCTTTTTTTTCCCCTTTTAAATAGTGAAGTTGAGGACTGGTACTTTGCTGTGAAGGATTTAATTTTCACTCGTGCCTTGATTTTATCCACCAATCAGATAACCTCCTTTTAGTTATTTCTACCCACTTAAAGTCTGTTTTGCCCTCGCTGTTCCTAAACTCCAGTGCTTTGAAAAACTCTGCGTTATCATCATGAACTGTAGGGTGAACCCCTTTACAAAACATTATTAGGTATTCAGCAGTTTCCTCCTTCTCTCCACACGCACTGCATACCGTGACTACCTCTTCGTGTTTGGTCTGATAAGTCTTGGTTCACAATACTCTCGTCCTGGCCTCGAACAGTAGAGAACTACCCCGAGTATTATCATAAATCCTTTCCTTGGCAATTTCCTGCTTAAAGGTTCGATAGATCTCTAGTGCGGACTTCTTAATCATGCCGATTCTCCACATGTAAGTCTCTGTTTCCTTCGCCTTCTTCTTAAGTGATAGTTCTTTTTGGTTTGGCCGCCTGCTCTTTTCTAAGTACTTACCCATCAATTTTCTGGTTCGCTTCCTCCATTTTGTATCGCGATTCCTCATGTACAAGTAGCTGAACACCTTCCTAGCCCAACACTCCTCCCCCTTTTCTATCGCTTCTCAAATTTGATCTTGCTATTAGCTTCCCTGCCCTCGAATGATGTCCATCCCATATCACCTTGTGCTACCTGATTTGGTGTATTCCTGTGAGCTCCGAAAGCAAGCCTACCTATTCCACGTTGCTTAATTTCTAATCTTCCTTGAACCTCTGATCTCATGCACAACACCGCACTGCCGAAAGTCAGACCAGGAACCATGACCCCTTTCTATATTCCTCTCACAACATCATACCTACTGCAATTCCACAGTGCCCTATTTTTCATCGCCGCTGCATTCCTGCTACCTTTAGACGTTACGTATATTTCGTGTTACCTTAGGTACTCGATCCTATTGCTTATCCACACACCCAGATATTTGTATTTATCTGTTATTTCTTGCGTGACCTCCTGTATCCTAAGCTCACTACCTTCATTATCATTAAAAATCATGACTGCTGATTTCTCCTTACTGAATCTGAAATCTAACCTATCTCCTTCTCTACTGCAGATGTCCATCAATCACTGCAAATCTTCCTTGTCGTTGGCGATTAGCACTATGTCATCTGCATACATCAATGCTGGTAGTGCTTGTTCAATGAGTTTTCCTTGTTTGATGAAAGGGAGGTTGAAGCCAAGTCCATCTCCCCTCTAATTTGGCCTCTAATCTAGTACGTACATCATGAATAACTAAGGGTGACAGAAGACACCCATGCCTAAGCCCCCGTTTTATCTGTGGGTTTGCATACCTGTTTTTTTTTTTTCATCTTGTAACTACCTTGTTACTTTTATAGATATCTTTAAAGATTAGTGACTCCATCTTCCACACCTAGTGTGTCCAGTATTCCCCACAAGTCCTCTTGAACCACGCTATCATACGCTCCCTTGATATCCAAAAATGCTAGCCACAGGGACCTGTGTTCCTTTTCTGCTATTTCGATGCACTGCGTCAGTGAGAACATACTTCTAACCTCCTGTGTTTCCGAAACACATTCTGGAGTTCCCCTAGCACCCCCTCATCTGGGTTGTCCTCATTGGCGCTACCTGTCGCTCAGGGGCCGGAACTTCGGCGGCAGTGATTCCCACGTGAGCCGGCCCATGACGACGGCGTTCTGCTTTCCCTCCGCCGCCTCCTTCGTGAGTCGCGAGAAGTAGGCCAGTTCTTTTTTGAGACGCCACGGTAGGCTGTTGTTGACACCGATCCCGCGGTTGCGGCACATGGCGACGATGGCGAAGCACGACACCACGTTCTTCGCACTACTGCTTGGACACATCGTATCGGACGCTGACTGCCGGCACACTGTTTAGAATGGCGCGCTTTGGGCGACTCTTCCGAGGCCTTCACCTTCCGCCGTAGACAGTTATCTCGAGCTGTCGTAAGCGACGGTCTGCAATCAGTGGGTCGATTATATACAAATTCTAACGGGCACTTGAAACCGCGAGGAAGTTTATGGCGGTGCGATACAAAAAGCGCGCGAAAACGTGGAACGTTCAAAGCCGCCAGCGGCACCCCTTCCTGTCATTTCCTTCTGGCTTTATTTGTGTGCAAACAAGCTAACGACCGCAGTTCTCACATGCAGCAATTTACGATGCCGTAATTAATGAGTTTCCACCACAAAGAAACAGTAATGGCAATGGTGACACAGGTACATTTAACTCTCGGAGGCCATGCTAGTCCATCGCACGCGTGTTATTAGAGATTTTTAGTACGGCGTTATGACCGCGGCCATAAAGTTTCTTTATTTTTTTAACAACCATAGAGTTAATATAACAGGCTCTGTTTTATTAACTCTATGACAACAACAGTGGTTATGCGGTGTGAATTTATGTTCCCATCACACCTCTTCGATACCGAAACTGATAAAGCGCTGTAACTTTAGAAAAGAAGTTTCTAGAACTTCGCTTTCGTAAAAAAAAATTGATAATTGCAATAAAATCAAAAAGTAAAATGAGATAAAAACATTTTTGCTTCTCTTTTTGTAAGCTGCGAAGCTGAAGAATGACATGTTAAACAGCACAGGCCAGTTCAGTCGTCACCGCCATTCGCGGTGCCATTTTGTTTTGGAAGTACGCGTGCAGTGTTGCTCGCTGTGTTGGCAATTTTGTGTTCCGCGGTCCCTTTTCTCGCCGCTGGCTTGGAGGAGTCCTTCGCTTCTGTAAGTCGCGACTCGGATCGCGCAACCGTGACGCCATGAGCTACGGCCGTGCCCCGCCGACCATCGACGGGATGACCTCCCTGAAGGTCGACAACCTGACGTATCGCACCACGCCGGAGGATTTGAAACGCGTCTTCGAGAGGTACGGCGATGTCGGGGACGTCTACATCCCGCGTCACCCGTACACCAGGGAGAGCCGCGGTTTCGCCTTCGTTCGCTTCTACGACAAGCGCGACTGCGAAGACGCCATGGACGCGCTGGACGGCTACATGATGGACGGCCGCGAACTGCGCGTGCAAATGGCGCGCTACGGTAGGCCTACCGACCCGTACCGCCAGTCCGCGTCTTCTCGCCGCGGCCCGTCAAGTCGCCGGTCACGCTCGCGCAGCCGCAGTCGCCGCAGGTCGAGGTGAGTGATCGTTACTTTTTTCCTATCGCGTTGTATTATGCTGCAGTCAGGATCGTTTAGCGAACCCAGAGTTCACGCGTTGACGCTTTATGGCGTCACTATCGCAAGTGATGTTTTCTTGTTGTTGAGTGTACCGTGTTTTGCAGAAAGGAAAGGCAGGGGTTAATGGTAAACGCCCTAAATTTAGTAGTTTAAACACATGCTCCAAATCTTGCTTTTCAGGAGCCGCAGGCGATCAAGGTCTAGGTCACGTCGACGATCGCGGAGCCGTTCTAGGTCGCGGCGACGCCGGTCAAGATCCCGATCTAGAAGGTGAGAGAGATTTGCGTCGTTACGTGATGGAAAAAATCATTGAAACAAAAGGAAATCGTTTTATTTTTAAAGAAAAAAGCTGCGCACAAATTCGCAAAGTTCCCGCCTTCGTAAGCCAGTGTTTACGGTCTGATTTTTCCTGATCGCTTTCGTGCCCTCTTATTGTTCAATAAACCACCCATCTTCATTAGTCAATCTTATATTTTGCTTTTGCACAGTGTACAATTTTTCTATGCTGATAACGCAGGTTGAGGGTTACGTAACTGTAAGAAAAGTCGGAGATAAAATAAAGGTTGGTTCAATTTCCAAGCTGAGGAGGTCTTGTAAACGGTGTGCGTGGTATCTGGCCAATGTAAAATGTGCTCCGTTTAAAAATCAAAAGAAGAAAAAAAGATTTTGTAGTAGTCTTTTCGTATACAGTTTTGAAGTGTTTGTGCAGTTTGCCCAGCCTTCAGTGTTGCTGTATGTATAATTCACTGAAAAGCTAAGCAAGTATGTCGAATGGTTCTATGCCGAAAGTTCTAGAACCGAGAGGTGTTACAGTCAGTATGAAAAACACATTTTCCATCATCACATCTCAATAGAAGGTATTCATGTGACGTTGCCTGCTAGGGGTGCTGGCGCGGCAGTTGCCAAATTTGTTGTCTCCTACATGGATGTCATCGTTAGGCTACAACCGAAAGCTATTTTTTTAAACAAAGTGTCCTGGTGTGGTGCAGCGAGACCAAACGTTCCAGAACGCTGAATGACTACGGCTATAGGGGCGCACTTGTTGGCACTGCCAAGTGTGAGTCGCTCAGTGAATACATCCAATGGTAGATGGTTTGCACTCAAACAGCCACATAGGGGAACGAACATGGTGGGATGCAAAAATTTGTGATGTTATATTTGCGTTATCAGTAGATTTCTTGCTGGTTCCCTTGTTATTCATGCACACTGGCCCAATAACGTTTCAGTGATGTCGTTATCACACTGACATTGATGGCCACGTGATTATGTCACCTTGGCAAATTAAATATAAAAAAGGGTGATCTTAATTCGGACCGCAGCAGTGGCTACATGGTTAGAGAGTCCGTTTCCAATGCGGGAGGTGCCAGGTTCGATCCTCAGTGCAAACCAAGAACCCACTGGTTTTTCCCTATGGGCAGAGGAGTACACCAACCTGGTGCTCAGGATTGTTTCTGGATACTCATCTCAAAAGGTAGCCCCGTAAGGTTCTGCGAAGACTCCCGGTCATACCTTAACCCCCCAGAGCCTTGGTGAAATAGTTGAGTATCCGCCGCTGCTTATAAATATATTCCTGCCAGTTATTCATTAGAGAATATTTTTGAAGAGTCAGGAAAATTTATTGTACAAAAAAAATTGGCCCCGTATCTGCATGTTTCTGCAAATGTCGTTGAAGGACGATAGTCTTGCGTGTGGAAAGAGTGAACAAGACATTTGTTTGATGTCCTGCGCAAGAAAATCGGTGAGTGATATTCTGGAGGCGCTGCGTTAAGAGTGCCTCAAGCGTGCAGCGGAGGCGAACTAGCGCATCAAGTCACGTCACACATGAGACATGAGCGCCATCTGGCAGTTTTCTTACAAAACAAAGTGCGTGGCTCTGAGACTGGTGTGCGCACCCATCTCAGAGGTGATAATGTGTAGAACGCAAGGCGACGGTAGGTGCCACCACCGTCTTGTCTTAGCAAAGTGTTGGAAACACTCCCGTTTCGTGCAAGTGTTGCATGGTCAGCGCAGCGTGATAAGCGCTACGGTCCTTAGAATTACTTATGTATGTCTTTTCTAGTAAAAGACGCACATGCAGAATATATACGTGTTGATATGGTGCCCCAGACATGCGAACTAATTGCTTTTCAATTGATGATTGCACAAGCATGAACGCTCAACCTTGAGCAACATTGGTGGGCGCTGTGGATGGGGTCGGCCAATTCAAGTACCCGATGCCGTTAAGAGTGGACAGGCAGACAAATATACAGACAGACCAAACTTTTTGCGTCGAAGGTCCCCAAGAAGGACTACAGTCTTTAAAAATATTCCTGAAGGTCCGCCGCTTGTTGAAAGTGTCAAGGGGGCCTTTTCAGCCAGTTTCCAGCAGCCTTGGTTTTGCTTGTATTGTTATATCAGACACAAGGTCGCATCCAGTGTCACTCGTCACTCCTATGGTGTCATCAGCGTGTGCACATGGATGTGCAGTAGTGCTGAAAAACACACGTGCCACTCGGAACTGTTTTGCAACATCACCTGAATTGAGTGAGGATAAGCTCAGAGTTCAAGGATGATAGCACTTCAGCTTCAGATTTTATGGCAATGATGTTTTGCGTCAGCCTGAGACATCCGCAGCCGTCCATGGGTTTGTTTTGTTTACGACCTCAAATTGTCTCCTCTGCTGCAAGTGTGTAGCTGCTGACCTTTGTGTGCAATGTTATAGCTACTCCGGTTACCTATGAGGTCCACACCTCACTGGGGAGCGGTGTGCTGGCGTCCGCTGCAGAGGTTCTAACAACAACATAAGGCCACCGGAGCACGTCCTGGATCTGACTACGGAGCAGCGCGAAACGTTTTCGAACTGCGCACGATATTGTTCATTTTTAAGACGATAAGCAAACTGCTAAGAAATGTGCTTGAATGCATATGCCAACCTATGCGGAGTGAACTGGCTTTTGGAAAGGGGTGATGCTACACGAAATAGCAAAGTTCATTAGATATTTGATTTGCAGAGGGATTTTTCACGTCACGGGCATTCATCTTTTTAAAAAGACCTGGACGCTCTTATCGCAAATAATAAGAAAAGCAAACATTCACTGAGAAAAGTGTACGAGTTCACTTGTGTCTCATCACGAAAAATCAAGCAATGCTTCACCACATCGGCACGAGCTACGAAGCAGCACCTCAGTTCTGATTTTCTTTGTCTATTAGGATGGGACCATTTTGTACAACATTTAATATTTTATACTGTGCCTATATATAGCCTTCATAGATTACGAGAAGGCGTTTGATTCAGTAGAAATATCAGCCGTCATGCAGACACTGCGGAATCAGGGCGTAGATGAAGTATATATAAACATTCTGGAAGAAATCTACAGGGGATCAACTGCTACCATAGTGCTTCATAAAGAAAGCAACAGAATACCAATCAAGAAGGGTGTGAGGCAGGGGGACAGAATCTCCCCAATGCTATTTACCGCGTGCTTACAGGAGGTTTTCAGAAGCCTAGAATGGGAACAGTTAGGGATAAGAGTTAATGGAGAATACCTTAGTAACCTGCGCTTCGCCGATGACATTGCATTGCTGAGTAACTCAGGGGACGAATTGCAACTCATGATTACGGAGTTAGACAAGGAGAGCAGAAAGGTGGGTCTTAAAATTAATCTGCAGAAAACGAAAGTAATGTACAACAACCTCGGAAAGGAGCAGCGCTTTGAGATAGGTAATAGTGCACTTGAAGTTGTAAAAGACTATGTCTACTTAGGGCAGGTAATAACCGCAGAGCCTAACCACGAGATTGAAGTAACTAGAAGAATAAGAATGGGGTGGAGCACATTCGGCAAGCACTCTCAAATTATGACAGGTAGATTGCCACTATCCCTCAAGAGGAAGGTATATAACAGGTGTATCTTGCCGGTACTTAGCTACGGAGCAGAAACCTGGACAAAGAGGGTTCAGCTTAAATTGAGGACGACGCAGCGAGCAATGGAAAGAAAAATGGTAGGTGCAACCTTAAGAGACAAGAAGAGAGCAGAGTGGATTAGGGGACAAACGGGGGTTAAGGATATCATAGTTGAAATAAAGAAGAGGAAATGGACATGGGCCGGGCATGTAGCGCGTGGACAGGATAACCGCTGGAGATTTGTGAAGAAAATCTAGCTTTTCTGACCGATTTCTACACTCCTCCCAGCTCCTCTGTCTATCGCCGCGTTAAACAAGCAACATAGTTTTTAGGATTGAGGAAATAAGCACTCTCAAAGCTACACACAGCAGACGAAACAGCAGTGCTGATAACATTGAAGAAGCTGGTCAGTGACGTTACTGGCTCTTGCAGTCACCTGGTAGTACTTGTTAAGTGGACACTAAGGAGAAACAATAACTTGATTTAAATTGATAAATTACACTCTGAGAATACTAATGCCATAAGTTTCGGTGTCATGCGTTATATTTTAGCGATTGAAATCAAGGTTGCAGTTTACTTTTCAAACTTCACGCCGAAATCTCCATGCACAACGAATGAAATTTCAAAATCTATTTTTTTTTTTTTTTTTCACGACATTGGCTCGAGGAAACGTTTTTGAAACTTGGTATGCTAGGTCTATGGCGTGCGCAGATTGCAATTTCCTTAGTTTCTATCCAGTAGAAGTTATGTAGGACCCATAAACTCTTTTAAAATTTACTACATCACGGTGCTTGATGCGGTAATCTCACGCTGTTATCTCTTCAGTGTCCCTTTAACAAGTAGACTGTTCACATCACGGGGCTACTGAGGAGCTCTTGGAAAATCGAAACTGCCTCCGGGCGTAACATTCAAGCATATCATTAACATTTGTCTCTCGTGCTGGGACAAAGAGTTTTGTTGTCGTTATGGTCCCTTTTCATAATTTGCAGGTGCACTTCTCTGCACTGCATATTGAACAGGTAATGGCACCTGTAGTGCTTCAAGCAGACGCGGTCCTAGTTAAACGGCAGACGCGTTCCTAGTTAAATGTGTTGGAGCTTGTTTATTATGAGTGTTTATATCGAAAGAGCAGACTCATTGATTGATATGTGGGGTTTAACGCCCCAAAACCACCATGAAGGAGCAGACTCAACGTTTTGCACGTCATTGTGTAAGCGAGCCGCACTAAATGGCAAGCCACCATTACTTCTTTAAACTGCATAGCAGGAAAGGGAAAGCTAACTTCAGAAAAGTGTCTATTGACGAGTTGGTAGCCATTGAGTAAAAACAAAAAAAAAAACTGTTTACAAAGTTTCAGTCACCACTTGGAGAGCAGGAAAGATGTCTCTAGGAGGAAGTGTGGCAACGGAATGTCTCCTTTATAAGAGAATAGTTCAGCCCGTACTCCGCGGTGTTCTCGGATGGTGGAGTCGTTGACCATCGGGCTTGATTATACCAGGCACGCGCTGTGACTGCAAGCTCTGAAAGCAGCTGCTTTATAAAGTAGAACCTTAGTAGAAGCTTTATAAGTGGAAAATAGGGTAGTGAATCGACGAGGGGCATGCTCCATGCACATGGGTAGTCAACCATATAAATAACACCATCTGGCCCTATAACGTATTTCGGTTTATCCATGTGGTGGGTTCACTAAAGGAACTTATCGCCTCGTTGTGAATTCACCGCAGCAAATATTTGCCCACGCTGCAGTCGCATTCTCTCGTATTGACAAGAGCGCTGGAAGCTGAGCTGGAAGGGATGGCACCAGGGAACAAAATGGGTCACAAGCGCTTGCGTACTTCGAGCTCTTTTGCTTTCTCTTTTCATTGAATACGTGGCTTTTCAGTGGGATCGTGCGCACACACCTGGGCCGGTCGCGGCCTCCCGTGGCGGTCCCAGTAACCACCGAGCATACCATGCTCAAATCAGCCACTGGCTGATACTAGGCCTGGGACATAGTGATTATGAGCCAGTAGGGTCATTTGTAGAGAGAAGAGAGAGTGCCAAAACTCCAGGCTGCTTGCTGTGCTATGTTTTCGGAAGCCTCTACTACCGGTCTGCAGTGTTTTTTCATCATGCTCAAAAAAGCCAACTCCGGTGATATTACGGGTTCGATGGATCTTAATGAAATTCACTGAGTACATTCATTTGCACGTTTGCGCCATTCATGCCAAATTGAAGGCTTGAGAGTTTTGCATATTCTATTCAAATGAATTTTATAGCTTGTCTCGAAACCCTCACCTCTTTTGCCAGATTTAATGGCAACATTGTGCATGTGACATGCGTTTCACCTGGTGGAGGTGACAGAATTGATGTGCCAAGTTAGCGTCTGTTAGTCTGCTATGGATTGTGCGGCTTCGGCAGGCGCTTCATTAGTTGAGCGTGAGATTTTTTTTTCCTTGTTGGTGGGCGTGCAATAGGTGGCAAGTGGGGTCGCGTTGTGAGCCACACACGATTCGCCATATATACGCCATAACAGCGTAAGCACTTTAGCCGATCACCACGGACGGCAGGGACAAATAGTGCCATCTGACGCAATCAAGATGATCAGGCAAATTATGTCGTCGCACGTATAAGTGTACTATGTTGGGTTTTGGTTTCGGTATTGCGGTTTTTCAGTAATAAATAATGATTTTCAGATTTGTTGAGCATTCCAACTATCGAGCACGTGACAAGAGTGTCTCAGGAACATAAAAGCATCATTATCCTGTAATGGTTAAAAAAAATCGCCGCAGTTGGACAGACGTAGCATTTCTTAGCCACGCTCATATTTTTGTCTATAAATAAAGGTGTGCATGGACACCAAAATGTTCTCTTGGTCTTATATCATATCCAGGTCCCGAAGCAGATCAAGGGATCGCCGGCGTTCTCGAAGCAAAGCCAGGAAAAGCCGCAGCAGAAGCCGGCGAAAGAGCCGCAGTCGTAGCAGGCGCAAGAGCCGCAGCAAGTCGAGGGAGCGGAGCCGCTCTCGACGCCGCGAGACCAAAAGGAGCAGATCAAAATCCAGAGGCCACAGCCGCTCGAAGTCGAGGGAGCGCAGTCCCTCGAAGCATCGCAGCCGCTCGAAGTCGAGGGAGCGCAGTCCCTCAAAGCATCGCAGCCGCTCCAAGTCCAAGGACCGCAGCCAGAGCAGGCACCGTAGCCGCTCAAAGTCTGAGGAGCGAAGCCGAAGCAAGCACCGTAGTCGCTCCAAGTCCAAAGAACGCAGCCGAAGCAAGAAGCGCAGCGAGTCCAAGGAGCGGAGCCCCAGCAAGCACCGGAGCCGTTCTAGGTCCAAGGAGAGGAGCAGAAGCAAGTCTCACAGAAGCCGCAGCCGAAGTCGCAAAGAGAGCGAGCCACGGGATAGAAGCCACAGTCCAGCGGTGAACGGAGACTCCCGCATGCGCAGTGCATCCCGCAGCCCACGAGAGGAGGGCCGAGAAGACTCGCGGTCCCGTTCACGGTCGCGCAGTCCGAGGCGGAGCGGCAGCCCAGCGCAGGGAGAGTCTGACGAGGCAGGCAGGGAAAAGTCCAGAAGCAGGGACCGGTCGCGGTCCAAGTCGCAGGACTCCAACTGAGGCACGTGAGAGTCCTTGCTGTAGGGTATTCACCCCAGGCTGGGTTGTATTATTGGAACGTTGTTTGTCATTTGATGTGTGTGTTCTGTTAAGAGTTACGCCTGCTCAATCCAGCCGCTTCATGCTTCGTCTTCACAAGAATGTCTGCTGTCAAGTTTTAGTTTTCTGTTAATCCCCAAGCTTCCCTTTTTCGCACGTATTGTGAAGTGGCCTTTATATTTTCATAGCTAATGCATTGCCTGTCAATGTGTCTGCTCCTGTTGAGAATAGATAAAAAGTGAAGGTAGGGGAAATTCTTGACGAATTTTGTTTAATTTCTGCCTTGTCATTTTTGACTGTAAATGAATTCATTTCTTTATTACCATTGCTTTCACATTAGTACCTACTACCTGTGTGTATCTCTCGTTGACATTGTGACCATTACAAATCGTCATGAATGTATATCTATTTTTCTGAGCAGTGCGAGCAAGCATCTGCATCGTAATTGTACTTTTATCCCTTTTCACTGTAGTAGGGAATACTGAGCTTTCCTGAATAATGGGCTCAGTATTGACCTTGTATTTTGCACGTCACAATATCTTTGAATGTCGGATGTTGAGGCTTTGTCACAGCTGCATTGCCTCTATTTCTTGAAAGTGCTGCGTTGGTGGTAGTGCTTTAACCCATTGGCTTCCGCGCACTGCGCGCCCGGTGCTGCCTACCACTCCGCGGCAAATGTTTCGCGCTAGCGGGCGGCATGGGGCGGTGTATAAAAATCGCAATAAAGTCCGCAAGAAACGTCATAGAACCACAATTCTTGCTTTATTCTGTTTGCAATGCTTTGCTGCAGCAACTCGGTCAGTATGATTTGCGTGTGTGAAATTCTTTAAAACACACAGGCATGTGAAGCGCAACTTCGCATTTTTCGCACTCCCACCGGCTCTCGGACTTTTTGCCATGTGACTTGCAAACTAAGCAAAGCCTGGATGGATTTTTTTTTAGCTTTGTTCGGAAGGATCCGACAAGGAAAATGAGCCCACTCGGAAGCTTGCAGGCGCATTGGTGTAGCCGCGACAGGTGGGTTTCTTTGGCCGCGGTAAAGGGGCAGAGTGACCTCTTCGAAAATCGCCTCGGCGAGATTGACCTTCCAATCGGTGTAGTGGAGCCGCTTGCCGGTAGTTTTTCCAAATAAAACATAGCTGTTATAGACAGCAATGTCCATGATGTAAAAGAAAATTTTCTTGTAGCCTTTTGCGTATCTTCTCATAATGGGAAAAGAAGCAAGTTGTTGGTCCTCGCGATCAACTCCTCCCATTCCTCGGTTGTAGTCTAATACAACTTGCGGTTTCAAAACTGGCAGGCCGTTCCCGCGACCCTTCTTGCCGGAATCCATTCACATTTGCTCCACTGTGCACGGTTGACAGCATAGTGACCTGCTTTTTATCTTGCCATGTTAGAGCCATGATCCCTCTCGCAAAGAGAACTTTGCATTCACCTTTTTTTAACTTGAGCTGCTTGAAGCCTTTTGGCATATTCTTGCGGTGTAGACGAACTGTACCAACTGCATTCGAACCCGCATCTTTGAGGTGACGAAAAAGTGTAGGCGAAGAGTACCAGTTGTCCATAAATATTGTGTGGCCGTCAGGAAGGCGTTTTCCAACAAGGTCAAGAACAACGGACTCACTGCACAATAGCCCATCTGTTGCTGGCGTCTTCTCACTTTTTCGAGTATAAATTGAAAAATTGAGGCAGTAGCCACTAGATGACTCGCAGAGTTTGTAGAATTTCACTCCAAATCTTGCTCGTTTTGAGGGGTTGAATTGTATGTAGGACAGGCGACTGCGGAACTTCATCAGACTTTCGTCCACCGCAACACTTGCTTCGGGATTATACGCTGCGCCAATGGACTTGAGTATGATATCGAGGACAGGCCGTATATTCCAGAGCCGGTCTTCACTTTGGGGAAGGCTGTTGCAGAAATGCAGGTACCGCGACAGCACCCAAAAACGATGTCTTGACATCACAGTGGCAAAAAATGGTGTGCTGATAACAGACCTCGTCGACCAGTAGGACTGAATGCTACTCTTCTTTACTTGGCTCATCAGCACACACGAGGCGAAGTAGGCTTTCATTTCGTCGGCAGTTGTTTCATGCCATGAGGAGTCAGGATGCAAAAGCTGCCTTTCGCGTGCGAAGGCGTTTGTGTGCAACGCGATGATGCTCCAAATCGCCACTCCAGGAACAGCATTGAACATTCCAAGAGCAGTGGGACTTCCACCTACTTGAAGCTCGATGGATCTCTTGATGCCAGGCTGGCCGCTGAAGGAGTGCTTGACAATATTTTCCACACTGTCATCTTCTTCCCATTGCCATTCTTCCATCTTTCGCGCCTTTGGAGAAGGCGGCAAAGGATCCAGCGGATCTTCTGCTGCACACACGTTCTTCTCCTCCTCCACATCACTACTACTTTCATCACTTTGATCCTCCCCATCGTCTAATGAAACATCTTCATCATCACAAATGTCACTTTCGGCGTCACTGTCAAACACAAGTTGCAGAATTTCGTCTTCTGTCAAACCACGCTTTCGCCGCGATGCCATGTTTTGAACAAGACCAGTCGCAATCGCCTCGCTCACTTCGCACACAAAATAGCTCCAAACGCGCACAAAAATAACTCCAACAGTGGACAACTATGTCCATTATGTCCATCTAGCGGAGAACATATCAAACACAAGGCAAACACCAACCAATGTGCTGCCATCCATGAAAGATCATGAAAAACAATAATTTTCTAAGTGGCCGGCGTTTCGCCGGTCAAAGAACTTTTGGCCTCGGCCGTAGGGGCCGGCGGATCGTCGGCCACGGAAGTCAATGGGTTAACATGCAAATGCAACAACTCTTGTGTTGCACACAGCATATCTTCACTGTCCAAAACTTGACCCAAGGGTTTGCAGGGCTCCAAGCATTAAATATGCCGGTTATGTTGGTGGTGTTTGCACGCTATGGAAATCTTAATATGGGGAGGATTTCATTGTTGAGGGTCTGGTATAAATAGTTCGAGAGGCCAAAAGCGGGATAAATTACATGGTAGCTGGTTGCACTAGCTCTCAAGTGCGTCCAGACAGAGGTGACATTCTTGTCCGACGCATGCTGCTTGGCAGCTATCTTGGTTGGCAAATGCGATCAAGCTCGCCCAACACAGATTGTAAACTGGCATCTTTAGTGGGAAAACTACATTTTTCTACATCTCATTCTTGCTAACTATATTCACAAGCAAGCAGGATATGACATTAAATGTGCAGGGTAGAATGAAGTACAGCCGCCCCACAATGAACATTTCCGTAGAGTTGACTTGTGAGGAGCTAACACATGTGACGTGAAAAGCTAGCATGGGCACACAGCTCAATAAAGAGGAGGACACTGTGTGTCTGCATTGACAGCACTCTGCAGTTACAGCCTCGTTTGCTGAATATAGCAGGGTGGCGTGGTTATCTGGAAACGTGATTATAGAAAGCTTCTGACATCAACATCCTTGAAGACAGCAGACAGCAAAGGTGCAGAAACTTAAGCACAAGCAGCAAAACACTTTGGCCTGAGAAACTAATTATGCCAGACTGTTCCTGTGAATGCAACAATGAATGAAATATTCGATTGAAAAGTATTTGTAATTGAAAGTTTGGGTAAGAATGGCTGCCACGGGCTGTTGCGCTCTTGTCGGATACGGGGGTTGGGATTGTTGGGTAGTTGTGATGTTGGGATCCTTTGCTGGGATTTCGAAAGAGCACTTCTCTGCTGACTTGTGCTGTGGTTGTGCCCCCTGTCATGCCTGCAGGCGCTGAGCTGTGAGGGTGTTGGTAAGGCGGTGCTTGATCGTATGCTGCGTTGCTGCTGCTGCCGTGACTGGTTGCAGCCTGTGCCGGGTTCGGGCGGAGATGTGCTGTCGGGCTGCACGTCGTGTTTGCGATCATTCCGGGTTTTTTCCTCCTTTTATTTATTTATTATTTTTTTGTCGCTCTTTTTCACCTTCTTTCCTCACCTGCAGGCACCACACCCTGCCCCCAATTCCTTGTTTCCCCATTTATGCTCCTCCTCCGGCCACTTGTTCAAAAATCGGCTTGCTTGGCTACGACAAGACTATGTAGGCATAGGGGAGCACTGAACAAGTTGTGAAGTAGCGCTGCTTTCAACCTATCAAACTCTCCAATATCGTGCAACTTGCGTGCAAAATTTGGCTGCTGCGTTTCGTTAAATATCCTTAGTCTCACTTTCAGAGTGCTATGGTTGCTCTTGGAAGTATAGTTGCACTTGACGAGTTGCAGAGCTGTATTCCTTTGATACAGATCTGATTGGCTGGTAATATTGAGTAAGATGAGCTAATATTGTGTTAGGTCTTAAATTTGTAGTTAAAAAGCACTTGTATAAAATTTTGGATGAAAATGGCAGCATCTTAAAATAATTACAAGTACGAACTACAAAAAATGACAGTTTATTGAAGGGGACGGCGAACTTTAAAAGCAGTGTTCCGTTTAGCCTTCTTAATCGTTAAATCCCAGTTTTCCTGATTAAGATTTGCTAGCGATAAGTGAGGTTACACACACGTTTTCTGGCCTTGAATCATTCAAGCCGTAGCCAACAGGGAGGGGCGAGGTTATGGTGCCGCTTTTTTTTTTTTTTTCTGCGGTGGATGGGAGGCGTTCCAGTTTGCGGCCGGCAGAAGGCGGCATTTGCAGACCGTCGGTGCGGACGGAGCGGCCCGCGGTTGCTGTCCAGCCGGCGTAAGTACAGTGGTTGCAGAAGGGGCCTAGCCTGTACTCCATAGAGTTTCTTACAATACTCAGTGGAGGGAACTGTGGCAATGCGATCACCCAGCCGTCGTGGGAATGACGGGTAGTAATTGGACTTGCCTAATCCGCATTTGCATCTTCACACACACCTGTGGCTTTTCGATTGTGCATTAGGCTTTTGTTTCGGACAGAAAAACTATTTGTTGTGAACCTCATAAGTAGACCTGAATTGGTGAACTCAGAAAGGCCACCTCCCCGAAGGGAATCGTGAGGAAATACGCATGCATTTCTTGCGCCGAGAGAGGGCACCATTGTCGTCAGACATTCGCCTTCATTGTAGACTTGAATTGGTGAACTCGGAAGGCCCAGCGTGGTGAAGTGAGACTTCTGAACTTTGTCTTGCGACTGAGTGGCAGCTGGCACCACGTTGCCAAAGAACGGAGCTTAGGCATACCTGTACAACCGATCATTTCCATGCTGGATGAAGTGCCCTGCATTGCAACTTGCATACATACAGCAGATTTCCCTCTGGTGCACTATTGCGAAACTCTATGGGGTACCCTTCTTGACTGGGAAATTGACAGAGTCTTGCCAACAGGCGGGGCTTGCTGTGATGCTGTGTGGGAGTGCCTGCTGCGTCGGGAGTTGCAGCTGCGGGGTTGCCTGCTGTGCAGTTCGTGCGAGTGTCTTGGGATGCAGGCCCGGTTTTGGTTTGTTCCATTCTCTTCTCAGTGAAGTGTGCGATTTCTCTTCAGGACACTACAAGGGCAGTGCTTCAGAAGGCTGTTTCAGCAATGTGCTTCTCATGTGGCACCACACGAGGCATCTGCAGTGGTAGCAGTTTGTGCCAGTGGTTCTTGGTGTTCAATAAAGCCTTGCTGAACCAAATTGTGTGTGATTAGTGTGCATGTACACGATACAGCATTTCTTTAATCTTAGCTGCACACTGGTAGCCATCTTGAACTTCCCTTGTTCAACTTGCATGGCAAATATATATAGAGTATAAACGGTATTGTCGTAGAGCTGGTTGCAAATATATTCAAGATCTGTGCAAGTAGTTCATCTGAAGATTATGGAAGTCCTTAGGTATTATATGCTTGGAATGTATACTTTGTGTAGTCGCACGGTGCGTACAAGTCCTTGAAAATGAATTGAAAAAATGCATTTTCTAGGCCCCTTAAAATCCTGGAATTTTTTGCCGTCCTTGAAAATCGATGAATTTCGTGAGCAGTGCACACTTGTATAGTCATTGCGACTTCCCAAGTGTTGTGTATAGGTGTGTCAACCTGTCTGAACTCTCCATTTCCGGAGCAGTAATGCGGCGTGGGCACACATGGTCCCATTTCGCGAAAATGCATGTGAAGAAAAAGTTTCGTAGCAAAGCAGTGAATGCAAACCCATGGAATTAGTATGTGGCACAAAGAAGGGCAAGCAACTTGATACATTGCACACGCCGCGGAACAGGGGCGTAGCCAGAAATTTTTTTCTGGTGTGGTTAACACCGACACGACTTGGGGGGTGGGGGGGGGGAGAGACACAGGCAACAGTTTTCTTCTTTGACCATCGGCGGTAGTTTGAGCAGGTTGTGTACATGCATATTAGTCATATGAGCCTTTCCCCCCCCCCCCCCCCCTTGCCCATGTGTATGCTTGTGAATAATGACGTCTGTTTGCTGCAAAGTCATAGAGCATATAATAGCAAAGCATATGGTTCACTTGGAGGTTATTCAATTACTTAATGACTGTCAGCATGGATTTAGAAGTGGCAAGTCCACAGTGACGCAATTGATTCAAACAATTCATGATTTCAGCTTGGCTATAGACGATCGCAAACAAGTTGATGTAATTTGTATTGATTTTGCTAAAGCCTTTGATGTTGTAAATCACACTAAACAGCTTTTTAAACTGAGTAAAATGGGATTCAGTGATGAAATTTTAAATTCGATTGGCGCCTACCTGAGTAAACGCAAGCAAGCAGTGAGGATTGATGGTTTTTTTTCAGCTACGCTAGATGTGTTTTCAGGGGTGCCTCAAGGGTCCGTGCTTGGCCGCTGTTGTTTTTGTTGTACATAAATGATATAAGTACTATTGTAAAGCCACCTGTCAAGATGACACTTTATGCTGATGATTGTTTGATTTATATGCCTGTAAGCTGTACTGATGATCAACTCGAGTTGAATAAGTGCCTTGAAGATTTGGAATTGTGGTGTTGCGAATGGGATATGCAAATTAACTTTAAAAAAACAACATATGTACACATTACCAACAAGAAAAATGTTCTCAATTTCCAGTACAACATCGGGAGCAACAAACCCAGTAAAACGTCCCATTTTAAATACTTAGGGGTGACAATTACGAACAACCTAATTTGGCACCGTCACATTGAATCTGTTCTGAGTCATTTAAAAAAACTGTGTTTTCTACGAGCAAAGATGCATAAAACACCGAAACACGTAAAGCTGCTTGCATACCACACATATATTAGACCTGGACTGGAATACGCCTCCGTGGTTTGGAGCCCTCACCAGAAACACTTGGTCACCAAGTTAGAACGTATTCAGAGGCGTGCAGCTCGGTTTGTGTGCTCTAGATATAGAAGGCGGGATTCAGTAACTGATATGCTAAATTCATGCAATTTAGAATCACTGGAAATTCGAAGACGGAAACAAAAACTTAAAACATTATTTCGTATATTCCCAGGGATATTCAAAATGCCTAAAGATGAGTACATATGCCTTCCCGAAAAACGTAGCACTAGGTTGAATCATGATGCCTCCATTAAACCTTTCAGCGCTCGCACTGCCATCTTTCGGTGGTCGTTTTTCCCGGATGCTATAGAACGATAGAATTCTTTACCCCAACATGTTATTAATAGTACCGATGTGCAAACTTTTGATAGAGAAATTGATGCTTATTTTGGTAATGATTGAAGTACTGCCCATTCTGTTTTCCTGTGTTTATTGCTTAGTGTTTTTTTTTTTGGTGTTCTGTTTGTACTCATATTGTACTCCCTTCCTGTTATGACCCTCAAGCGAGGGTTGACAGTATTTTTAAATAAATAAGATAAGTAAGGTAATTGCAGTAAAATAATGTAAACGATAGACAGATGCAGTCTTCGAAAACACATCATTGGGATGACCGGCCCGATCGGAGAAGACGTCATTAATCGTTCATTTCTGTTAAGCGTGGATTGCGTAGTTCTCATCAGGGGGGGGGGGGGGGATTGCGTTTCACAACCCAGTAAAAAAAAAAGTGCCTAAACCTATCGAAAATTTCCAATTGCAAATTTCCAACTGTGTTTGGCACACCCATTGAAAAGAAAAATTCCAATTGGTCCAATTAGACTACCCAATTGTGTTCAATTGATCTAGCCACTTGACCAATTGGAAGAAATGGGGGATTTTCCGTTGCATTTAGGAAAATTAATTGCAAATTCCAATTGGACTACCCCATTGTGTTGGATGGTTCTAGCCAATTAACCAATTGGAATAAATGGGAAATTTCCAATGGCACCTAACACCCATTGCAAAATCCGATGGGTCCAGACATCCAATTGTTCTGAATGGGTCTGACGAACATAACCAATTGGTATTCTGAATGGGTCTGACCAACATAACCAATTGGTATTCTGAATGGGTCTGACCAACATAACCAATTGGTAATGTATGCCCTCCCAAATCTTGGAGGGCATACATGAAACGTTTGTTGTTGCTAACGCTAGATAGCTGGCACCACTTGTCCAAACGCCTGATTTGGGCACGTCATTAATTGCTCTGCGCTTTTTTATACACCGGACAGGCGAAAATGCTCTATTCACTACTGAAACGTAGTCTGAGAACAACACGTACGACATATCCGAAAAAACTGTGGAGCAAGAATCAAGCACGCAGACAATACGGAGAGGCGAATGAAGACGACGCGGCTCAGCCATGTCGCTTCTCCGTCACTGATTGGCTAAACCACTACCCGGCAAATGGCACAAAAATGGGTCTCGTGCTCATTTTAGAACGGTGAAGAACGGCAGACATACGCGAAGCAAACAGCCGCGCACGGCCTGAGAACGTCAAACGGCGAGGCATGCTGGAAGCTAGAGTGAACCGGAACTCGGGGAACTCTTTCCAGTAGCGTGAACCGGCCCTAACGCTACCTTGCGGAAAACCGCGCCCGAATGACTGGGGACCATCTAAATAATCCAAGAACCTTCCGATGCCCCGCCGCGGTGGTCTAGTGGCTAAGGTACTCGGCTGCTGACCCGCAGGTCGCGGGATCAAATCCCGCCTGCGGCGCCTGCATTTCCGATAGAGGTGGAAATGTAGGCCCGTGTGCTCAAATTTGGGTGCACGTTAAAGAACCCCAGGTGGTCCAAATTTCCAGAGCCCTCCACTACGGCGTCTCTCATAATGATATGGTGGTTTTGGGACGTTAAACCCCACATATCAATCAATCAAGAACCTTCCGATGATATTACGCGTACTTTAGAGTTTGTTCTGGAACTTCCGCGGCCGCTAGCGATAACGCTGGAATCTTCGATGGTACATGTATAAATGCCGACGCACTTTTGTGCGTGGCAGATTATCGACGGCCGACACTCTATGTTCGCTGCTACAGCGTCTACTGTAGAGTGACATTTCGTTTTATGGGGAACAGGTTAGCCTAAATAAACAAAAAAAAAAGATGCCCCCACCTCCGCGAAGGGAATCGTGAGGAAATACGCATGCATTTCTTGCGCCGAGAGAGGGCACCGTTGCCGTCATACGCAGTCGCAGAGACTCACCTCCTCGGGCTAGCGGAGCCACCGGTACACCCAAACTGGCAATGGGCGGGTAACAACAGAGAGCCCGGCTCCCACAAAGGAGGCGGAATAGGTGTCTTGTGGCGCAACGGCATAGAAAGCAACTGGAAGAAACTGGAGGGCTCCTGCAAGGAACACATGTGCATGACGGGCGCTATCTTGGACATGCCAGTGCTTGTTGCAGTCCAATACTTCAGCGTTGATCCAGGGCAAAATGCTGAAAACAGATGCATCATTCAATGTATCGCAGAAGACATTTAACGCTGGGGCTCTAACAGAGAGATCCTAATTATGGGAGACTTCAACGGACATGTCCAAAGCATCGATGGTTTCTAGGACCATAATGGTGCACTTATGCTGCAGCTAGCAGAAACGTTTTCCCTTGAAGTCGCCAACCTCCGCCCCGACTGCATAGGCGTCACTACATGGAGCGCCAGAAATAGTCGATCTTGCATCGACTATATCCTCACATCGCCTAATCTAGCGGCACACCTGACAACAGTGCATGTGGATGAGAGTGGGCGCTATAGTTTGGGTAGCGACCACAATCGCATCGCCCTGACATTCTCTACCTCTGTCCATCGGAATCGTTGGACACAATGCCGCAAGTCAGCTCGACGTTACCTACCGGCAACATCCTTTGAACGAGTGGCGGAGGACTTCGAAGAGAATGCCATACATGCGCAGCAAACCACATACGAGGAGTTCGTGGGAGAGCTTTTACGCACTATGTGTCACTATGAGAAGCGAGTACAATCCCGAGGAGGCGCCAGACCAAAGGCCTGGTGGGGCCAGCAGGTGAAAACGGCACTTGAAGCGCGACGTAAGGCCAATAGAGCTCACCGACACGCAGTAAAGCGCCTCTCGATCGAGGAATGCCAACAGGCGTGGCAGGAGTTCTTGCGGACCAAGAGAGACATGCAACAGATGATCCAGAAGAAAATCGCGGAAAGCAATAAAAAACAACTGCGTGCAATTACAGAAGCTGGCAACAACGGACCGCGCAAATTCTGGACATATATCTCGTCGCTCAACCGCGAGGCCCCATTCCAACTCTCCGAGACGCAACAGGTCAAGCTGTCACAGACCTTGCAGAA